AAAATCATGTCTTTTGCAGGAACATAGATGGAGCTGGAGGCCACTATCTTTAGCAAACTAACACAGGAACAAAGCCAAATATCTCACTTTCTCATTTAAAAGTGGGAGATAAATGATGAGAACTTAGGAACACAAAGAAAGAAACAACAGACACTGGAGTCTACTTGAGGCTGGAGGGTGGGAGAAGGGAGAGGAGCAGAAAAAAGAACTATTGGGTACTAGGCTTAGTATTTAGTGATGAAATAATCAGTATAACAAACCCCCATGCCAGGAGTTTACTTATGTAACAAATCTGCACGTGTACCCCCAAACCTGAAATGAAAGTAAAAAAAATAAATTTTTTTTAATCGAAGTACTTTGTAAATTGTGAAGGGCACTTGTGGAGGCCCTGTACCAGTTTTATCCCTTCTCCAGGGCGACTGTCTGTTTCAAGGGGTGGGAAAGGAAGGGGAAAGAGGAAGCCACTGATGTCTGCCAGCTGTGGCTTCGCTGTGTAATCACCTTCTCACCCTCCCTCAGACCCGGGCACCCAACTAGTCACGGGATCTGATTCTGCAGGCAAAGAAACTGTCATCTATCTGCTCAGGAGCACAGTGGAAATTTGTGGCAGGGTCAGAATCAGCACCCAAGTCTCTCTGGGTCTTAGAAAGGTCAGACCCCATCTGTAACATTAAAGAAAAAAAGGAAGTCCTGGAGTTTCCCCACCCCCACCTAGTTAGCGCTGGCGTGCCCTATGCGGACAGCGGGTGTGTCCTCACTTCTCTGTTCAGGTGTCCCTCCCCTGTGAGCACAGCCCTGCTTCTGTCCAGACAGAAAGGTGCTCATCAACTCTGCTTAGCCTCCCTGTCTCTCCCTGTCCCCTCCCCTGGGCCGAGGGACAATCTGCTCTATCAGAGCTGTCTCCCCCTCCCCAGCACCCTCACCCACATACCCTCTGACTAATGGCTCACAGGAATCGAATGAGGGGCTGAACCTACAAATCAACTCCCTAGGCTCAGAGCCCAGATCTTATTCAGCCCCAGGGTCCAGGCAGAAGAGCTGGCCGGGGTTTTCCTGACCATGTGAATGGACATTGTGCCCCTGTGGTGCTTCTACCTCTTCTCTCCTGTCCAGTGGCTACCTTCAACAAGCTTTCTCTAAGTGGTCCTGACCATGCCGGCTCCTTTGGGGGAGACCCAGGCCCTCCAAGGTGAGTGTGAATTCTCTGCCCTCTCCTCAAGGTTGGGGGTGGGTGGGCAGAGCTACCCAGAGTTCCAGCCACTCAGGCTGGCACAACTCAAGGGACTTTACTTAGAGTGACTGCCTGATTGCTCCAAAACTCTCTCAACTGTTCCCAGCTTGTTCAGGCTGCTCCAGGGCACCACAAAACAGGCTGTTGTCTCGCTGGTCATTGGGCACTTTCTTTTTCGGCCACCAGAGTTACCCTAGCTGTGCTTACCTTCCTATTGCCCCGTGCTCTCCTGCCTATGCCCCTTCCTCCTCCACAGTTAACCCATCTCAGCATGTGGCAGTGGGTTCAGGCATTCATCCATTTGTTTATGTAGGGACCATCTTTTAATCCATTCACTCCATCAGGCAAGAAATACAAACTGGAAAACCAACCATGTTTGAGACAGTGCAGTAAACACTTATGAAGCGCCCAGGCTCTGGAGTCTGACAGCTGCATTCAGAATCTGGCTCTACCAGTTCTTTGTGAATGATCTATTTAATGTCTTTAAGCCTGGATTTCCTCATCCATAATGTAGGAACAATAACACTAACTATAGGGATGTTGTAAGACCAAGTGGGGTCATGCACATAAATACCTCAAAATAGTGTCTGTTGTTAAAAGCTACCACTGGTTGTATTAGTTGTTCTACTACTATTCTATTCTGTCACTACTATTCTACTACTATTAGCCACTGTCATTATTAAGCACTAGAAACACTGTTAATAGTACACAGTCCATGCCCTCCAGGGAGGCTGGGGGAAAGACAGGCAAGTATTTATAATGTTGAGGCATGAGCTGGCTAAAAGGGAATGCAGAAGAAGGAGCTACTGATTAGAATACTGGTGTGGTAGATGAAGGGTGTCAGGAAGACTTCCTGGAGGGGTGATGCTTGAGCCTGGGTACTGGAGAAAGCAGACAAGTGAGAAGAGGACGTTTCAGAAAGAGAGAGGCTGATACATGCAAGAGAGAGGGAGGTGCGGGAGAGAGGGGGTTGGCCTGCCTGGCTTCCAGGTGGGGAGGGGAAGACCCTCAAAGGCTTTGAAGGTGATGCTGAGAAGTCTGGACTTTATCCATTGTGGGATCACTAGCAAGGAAGCAACCTGACGGAATTGGTACTTCAGAAAAATCACTGGTGACCCATTTGGAGAAAGAGTGAGTGGAAACTGGTTAGGAGTTGTCCAGGTAAGCTGGGGACTTCAATGAACGCAGAGCAAGGGGCACAGTTTCAGGACAGCCTCAGGAGTTGGGCTGGACTGATGGGCTAAAGTGAGGTCAGGAAGCTAGAGAAGTAAGAGGTGGCACGCAGGTGTCCTCTGAAGTGATGGATGGACAGTGTCCTCACTCACCAAGACCAGACGTGCAAGAGGAAGGGCAGGTATTTTGAGAGGAAGGAGAGAGGGGAGGAGTTCCATCAGGGCTCCACAGCTGTGAGGTGTCTGAGGTTCCCCCAGCAGAGCTGTCCAGCAGAAGGTGCCTGCAGTAGTACACAGCTCTGGGAATCCCCAGTGTCACATGGGATCCAGTGGAGTGAGAAGAGACGAGATGTGGATACATCTCTGGGAGGCACCAGTTCAAGGAGGTAGAGCCCGTGATGGGGACTGAGAGGAAGAGGATGGTGTGGATGGGGAGGTAGGCGGACCATTGAGAGAGAGAAGTCACCTAAGCCCAGGAGGAGTGATCAGTACTGGCAGGGCTGCTGGAGGCCTTGCAGGATAAGAGCAGGAAAGTCGCCCAGCGCCCAGCTCTCAGAGCTAGGAAGTGAGCATGGCTTCGAGACAGCTGTGGGACAGAAGGCAGCCTGCAGTGTTTGAGGGGTGGTGGGAGGCAAACCAGTGGGCAAAGAGCTTGGCCAAGAAGTGGAGTTGAGAGAAAGGGCAGGGGCTGCCGGGGAAGCTGGGGATGAGGCTTGAAGGTGGATGTGCTGCGTTAAAAGAGTGAACTGCATTTGTGCACATCTACCCTATAAGAGCTGAGTGGGGTGTGGACCATGGGCCGCCAGGGTCGGTGAAGGATCCCAAGATGGCTGGGCAAAAACTTCCTCTAAAAAACATTGACTGGGTAGCTTTTTCAGAGATCGTACTCCGAAACCAAAAGGCCATTGCTAATTCCCTGAAATCCTGGAATGAAACCCTTACCTCCAGGTTGGCTACTTTACCTGAGAATCTACCAGTTATTGACTGCGCTTACTACAAGGCCAACGTGGCCAAGGCAGGCTTGGTGGATGACCTTGAGAAGAAATTTAATGCCCTGAAGTTTCCTGCACCAGAGGATAAATATACAGCCCAGGTAGATGCTGAAGAAAAAGAAGATGTGAGGCCGGGCGCGGTAGCTCACGCCTATAATCCCAGCACTTTGGGAGGCCGAGGCGGGTGGATCACGAGGTCAAGAGATCGAGACCATCCTGGTCAACATGGTGAAACCCCGTCTCTACTAAAAAAAATACAAAAAAATTAGCTGGGCTTGGTGGTGTGTGCCTGTAGTCCCAGCTTCTCGGGAGGCTGAGGCAGGAGAATTGCCTGAACCCAGGAGGTGGAGGTTGCGGTGAGCCGAGATCGCGCCATTGCACTCCAGCCTGGGTAACAAGAGCGAAACTCCGCCTCAAAAAAAAAAAAAAAAAAAAAAAAAAGAAGATGTGAAAACTTGTGCTGCGTGGGTGTCTCTCTCAAAGGCCAGGATTGGACACTATAAGAAACAGCTGGAGAAGATGAGGAACTTAATTCCATTTGAGCAGGTGACCATTGAGAACTTGAACAAAGCTTTCCCAGAAACCAAATTAGACAAGAGAAACTATCCCTATTGGTCTCACTAACCAATCAAGAATCTATAAAATTGAGTCCAGAAGGGAGCTCTGGCCCTTATATTACACATCTGGACATTAAAAATAAAAATAATCACATAGTTACAAAAAAAAAAAAAGAGCAGAGTGGGGACAGAGAGAATTGAAAATACAGGAGGGAGGACAATGCTGGTGAATGAGGTTCCTGAGAGAGAAGGACAAGAAAGCAGGGGATGCAGGGAGAAGTGGCCACAACAGAGAAAGACAGGGTGGGCATTTTCTCCACAGGCAGAGCCCTTCCCCCTCCTTCCCTTTCTCTTCTTCCACCTGCATTTTTCTCTCCACAAGGGCACTGCAAGGGCTTGTGCTTTTCTTACTAGGATCAAGGTACTTCTTCACCGGCGTTCCCACTCTCTCACCTATTTCCAAACCTCCTCCACAAATCGTCCCAGTTTTTCTTCCTCTACTGCTTTTATTTGCGATTTGTCCTGCACCTGCCAGGTCTCACGCAAGACAATGCCAATGGCAAAGCTAAATATGGTGAAATCATACCAAAGGAGATCCAGACAGAGTTGGTTCTGTTTGCATTTAATGTTCAGGAAGTGACTCTTCGGATAAAAGAGAGGCCCTGGTTACCTAGCAGGGTTCTCAGCTCGCTGAAGTGCTTTAAGCTGTGAGCAGGGTCTTGATTGTGATGCTCTCTCCAGCAGCCCCCTGCATCCCCCCGGAGGCCTCTATCAGTTCACTTCTCCCTCCTGGCTTCTCCACCACAGCACAACACCTGCCACGGAATGCCCTATTGCTCAAGAGCTATCAAAGTCCCATATGGCACCAGGCTGTGACAGTTCACATCCTCCACACTTCCTCTCAAGCCAGCAATACTGCCAAGAAAAACCCGAGGGCAAGTGAGCAAACCAGTTGTGAACTGCTTGGTAATCAGGTAATCAGGTGGCAGTGCAGCAGCCCAACCCCGCCTTTGGTTCTCCTGGAGTCTCCCAATGGAAGAGGAAGTAGACACTCTGGCAGCAGTTTTCTGAAGCTCCAGACCGCCCAGCTGTTCTGTGGGGAGCATCCCAGGAACTGGAGGCAGCCACCATGGCCCAAGGTAGGGAAAGCCCCTGTGGCTGCTGGAGTTCAGGAACAAGGAGGACAGAGAGAGACGGTAGGAAGTCAAGGGGTGGAGGGTGGGTTATGAGAAATAAAGAAGTAAATACAGAACTGAGGCAGTAAAAGCAAGAACCCCAGAAACCTCCAAATTTATTGGTGGCCTGAGAACCAGGAGACAGCGTGGAGGCTGACAGGTAAACACAGCCACACAGCTGCATGCTAACATGCCTGCCTCCATAGCCAAGTGGGCCAGGGCAAGGCCAGGGATGAGGGGCTCAGGGTTTGTGTCCTTCTCTGCCACTAGCTGACCCTTTGACATTGGACAAGTCACTTCACCTCTGTTTTCCAACCCCTTGCATTGGATTGGACCAGGCAATCTTGAAATCATCTTTCCAGCTCTGAAGTTCTCTGGATCTTCATATCTTCTCTTCTTTCTCCATTTCAGAGGGTCTGTATCTCACCTTAGCTAATCTTCCCATCACCAACCTTCTCTCTGTATCATCCCCCTCTCTGGAGAGAGCTTCTATGAAGATTAAATTGCTAGTTGAAATCATTTAGAGGAATAAGCTTTCAATTTGCTCTATAAATCTATGTAAATGATTTACTACTCTTTGTGTTTAAATTTTTGTTTTAAAATTTTCATAACTTTTAAATGCACAAGAAAAGTATGAATACATAGCTGAAGTAAAGTCAATCAATAATTGAACATAATTATAGATTATGCTATAGTTTTCAGCCTGCCATCCCCAATGGCAGCCTCATCTCCAGAGTAAGCATTGTTACCCGTCTTTTGTCTACACATTTACATTCAAGCATATATTTACTCAATGTAATACATAGGATTAGCATGTGTGGGGTTTTTTTTTTTTTTTAGTGTATCCATGGTATCATTATATTGTATGTATATTTCCACAACTTGATTTTTTTCACTCCACTGTATGTCTGGGAGCTCTGTCCATGCCAGTTAGCACCTATAGATCTACCTCAATATTTTCCACAGTATCAGTGAAAGTAATTTCTAATCCAGTCCCCTATTGATGGGCATTTAGGTTGTTTTCTATTTTCCAGTTACACAAGCAATATTGCAAGGAACATTCTTATCCATGTCTCTGTGTGCTCATGTGGGAATGTCTCTCTAGGATAACTACTAAGATTACTTACTTTAAAAGTTCTTTCTACAGTCTCCTGTTTATTTCCTGATCATTTCACCCCATTATCCTCTCACTTTAAGGAGAACAAATATGTGCAGTATTCATTGACTAATGAACCCCCTATATCAATAGATGGTGCCTGAGCTGAAGAGTCATCCCTGTCTTAGACAGAGATTAACATGGTCCAGGATGTCTCTAGAGTATGAAATTCTGCCCCAGCTCTTGCTGACAGGCAGAGGCTGCCATGCCTGCTGAGTAGCCTGCATCATGTGCCCAACCTGAACTGCAGCCAGTTAGTGCTGTCTAATCAATAGGTCTCCAAAAGGAGTGAGCTTCTTTTTCCACTATTAGGAAAAAGCCAAGTGCTTTCTCAGCCAGCAGTGGGTCTGGGTATTTTTCTGAACATGAGTGAAAGCCAACGGTGGGCAGCAGCTATTGGGTGATGGGAAGAGCACTGGACTGTGGTCAGGAATCTTGATTTAACCTTAGGCAAGACATTCAACTCACTGGAAACTTGGTTTTCTCATCTCCATGAACGGACGACATGGCATTTTGTCCCTCCCAGGATGTGATGAAGATTAAATGAGATGACTGTTCTAGAGTACCTGACACAGTGCCTGGCACATAGTAGACAGGCCCTCAAATAAGATGTTGCTTAAATTTGAAATCTGAAATAAGTACAGGGTGATTTTGCAAAAGAGAGAATTCTATTTAACCTAGCAAATCTTTCTGAGTACCTACAATATGCTGATCATTATGCTGAATTTCTTTTATAATAATATTAAACTAGTTTATGAAAAAGATGTGTGTTAAAGTAATCAAAAGCACTCAAAAAGATTTAAGATAAAGCTTAATACTTGTTATGGTATTTTGTCACTGTTGATTTGCTTCCTATTTGTTTATAACAACTTTATTGAGACATTATTCATATACCATCAAGTCACCCGTACAAAGTCCACAATTCAGTGGTTTTTCATATACTCATAATGTTTTGCAGGCATTGCTACTATCTAGTTCCGGAACATTTCATTACCTCAAAAAAAAAATCCCGTACGCATTGGCAGTCACATCCCATTCCACCTTTCTTTAGCCCCTAGCAAACCCTAATCTATTTTCTGTCTCTATGAATTTACCTATTCTGGACACTTTGTATAAATATAATCATATAACATGTGTTCTTTTATGTCTGACTTCTTTCACTTAGCATAATGTTTTCAAGGTTCATCCGTATTCAGTATGTTCAGCATTCTTTTTTTTTAACAGTCAGATGATATTAATTTGTATGATATATTATTTTGTTTATCTGTTCTTCAGTTGATGGACAATTGTGTTGTTTCTACTTTTTGGCTATTATGAATACTACTGCTATCATTATTCAGGTATTGTGTGAAGATGTTTTCATTTATCTTGGCTACATATACCTGGGGATATTGTTAGGTCACATGGTAACTCTCTGCTGAACATCTTGTGGAGCTACCAGACTGTTTTCCAAAGTGCTGCACCATTTTATAGTCCCATCAGCAATATATGAAGATCCCAATTTCTCTGCATCCCCACTAACACTTGTTATTATAGTCATCCTGTAGAGGCGAGATGGTATCTCATCTGTATTTCCCTAATGTCTAACGATGTTGAGCATCTTTTCGTGTATTTATTAGCCTTTTGCATATCGCCTTTGGAGAAATGTGTATTCAAGTCAGTTGCCCATTTTAAATTTGAGTTGTCTTTTTTATTGTAGAGTTCCATTAATTTTTAAAAAGTATTCTGGATATGAGTCCCTTACCAGATACATGATTTACAAATATTTCCTAACATTCTGTGGGTTTTCTTTTCACTATCTTGATGATGTTCTTGAAGCCAAAAAGTTATTGATTTTGATGAGGTCCAATTCATTTGGTTTTTCTCTCACTGCTTGTACCTCTGTTTTCATATCTAAGAAACCATTGCCTAGTCTAAGATCATGAAGACTTACCGCTATGTTTTCTTCTAGGAGTTTCATAGCTTTAGCTTTTATGTTTAGGTCTTTGATCCATTTTGAGTTAATTTTTAATAAATGGTGTGAGTTATGCATCCAACTTCATTCTTTTGCATGTGGAAATCCAGTTGTCCCAGCATCACTTTTTGAAAAGAGCATTCTCTCCCCCATTGAATTGTCTTGGCACCCTTGTCAAAGATCAAGTGATTATAAATGTGAGTTTATCGCTAGACTCTCAGTTCTATTCCACTGATCTATATGTCTATCCTTATACCACTACCACATTGCCTTGATCAAGAAGTGCCACTCCTCTAATTTTGTTTTTACCTTTCAATATTGTTTGGCTAGTATGGATCCCTTGTATTTCCATATGAATTTTAGGATCCACTTGTCAATTTCTACAAAATGGCTGTTGGGATTTTGTTGAATCTGTAGAAAAACTTGTTATCTTAATTATATTGCCTTCCAATCCATGAACATAGAATGTCTTTTCATTTATTTAGATCTTCTTTAATTTCTTTCATTGATGCTTTTTGGTATAGGTTTTGCACTTCTTTTATTAAATTTACTAAATTTTCTTAATTTTATTTTCAGATTACTCTTTGGAAATGTATAAAAATACAACTGGTTTTTGTATATTGATATTGTGTCCTGCAACCTTGCTCAATTCATTTATTAATTCTATTTTTTGGTGGGTTCCTTAGGATTTTCTATATACAAGATTATGTTGCATCTAAATAGAAACAATTTTACTTCTTTCCAATCTGTATGTCTTTGAATTATTTTTTCTTTCTTTCTCTCTTTGTCTGTCTTTCTCTTTCCCTCTGTCTCTCTTTCTCTCTTTGTCTCTTTCTCTCTCTCTCCCCATTTCTTCTTTCTTTCTTTCTTTTCTCCTTTCTTCTTTTTGCCTAATAGCCCTAGCTAGAACCTCTAGTAGAACGTTAAACAGATCTGACAATAGCAGACATTCTTGTCTTGTTCCTTATCATAGCAAGAAAGCATCCAGTCTTTTACTATTAAGTATGGTATTGGCTGTGGATTTTTCATAGAAATGCTCTATCAGGTTGAGAAAGTCCCCTTCTATTCTTAGTTTGTTAAGTATTTTTATCATGAAAGAATGTTGGATTCTGTTGAATGTGTTGGTTCACTTTTAAAAAATCTAAATACAACCAAGACAAAGCAGCTAGGTCTCTGTACTTTTTGGCTTACATCTAGAAATGAAAGACAGACAAATAAAAAAGTAAGAAAAACATCTGAACACCTTATCCTAATCCTTACACTAGTAAGTTTGCTGATATAAATGAACAAATGAGCATAGCATGTAAATTAACTTGTCAATTAAGCAGTTAAAATTCTCCATGAACAATTCAGTTAAGTGTATAGATCAGTCAGCAGGTGATTGAAAGAAGGGTGGGCCAGTTGCGGCAGGCTTCATGGAGCAGATGGGTATTGGAGGACAGGTGGAATCTGGCTAGAGTGAGGGGCCATTCTGAGTTGGGGCTTTAACAGCAAATACAAACATAGGCATTTGCTTGGGGATAGATTGGCTAGAGGAGAGGGGCAATGCTGAGAAGTGAGAATGCAAGAATAAGCTAAGGCCAAGTATAAAGAACTGTGTCAAGTTAAGGAATGTGCCTTTTATATGGTAGACTGTAGGAGATCTCAGAACTTGTAAAGCAAAAGAATGGCATGATTAAATTGTTTTGAGGAAAGGTAATCTGACAATGCATTAAGGGATGGGAGATGGGGAGAGAGACAGGAGACAGGAGACCTCAAATATAATGCCTCGTGGAGGCTATTATTGTCTCTAGGTATGAGGAGAAAACACTGGAATTATGTGAATGTGAAAAAGGATAGATAGACACCAACCATGTTTTAATGGAAGGCATGAAGAGAGTTAGTGACATGTGAATTGGCATGGGCTGAGAAGGAGATGCGTGAGCCAATTGTGATTTAAAGGCTGTGAGCCCACCAGGTGACTGGGACCATGGCAGAACCATGGTCAAAGATGGAGAAGTCAAAAATAGGCCCCTTGTGGCAGAGGCACACTTGGAGACTAGTGAGGTCAGTCTGTGTTTTAGCAGAGGCTCCAAAAGGCTGGGAATGCAAATTTCTTTAACTGTCATCAGCATCCAAGCTCCTAGGGCATTGGGCACATGGCCTATGGTGATCAAAGAGAGAGCAGATGGCTAAAAGAAGAGCAGCTAGCCCAGGGAAAGTTAACCCCAGGGCAGCTAAACCAGAGAGTTGCTCCCCAGACCTGGTGGCTAGTACAGGGGCAAGTGAGACTCTTAACTTGAGTCCAGGAAAGTGGATGCTGGTGTTAATCTGAAGTCATGCTAGGCTGAAGGGAGCAATGAAACTTGCCAGGTCTACAGAAGGACTTGGACAGAGGCAGAAAACCATGCCCCTCCAAGAGGATGTAAGGGAGAAGAAGATAGAGGGTCAGAGAGATAGGAAAGGAAGGAAGAAAGAGGATCGTGCATGCATAGAGCCTATGGAGCCTCATGAAATCCTCATCCTAACTCTGGCAGACTGATCTTATGGACTCTATTTTACTGATGTGGAAACTGAGGCTCAGGCTAAGTGAATTTCTCAAGATTGCAGAACTAGTAAGTGGTAGATAGGACTGGCTCCACAACCTCACTCTTTTGTCTACCCCTGGTTGCCTTGTTGAAGGACTAGAAGTGGCCCTCACAGACCTCCAGAGCTCCAGAAATAATGTGCAGCACCACACGGAGGAGATCACTGTTGACCATCTCCTTGTTCGCCGGGGCCAGGCCTTCAACCTCACCTTGTACTTCAGGAACCGGGGCTTCCAGCCAGGCCGGGACAACATCATCTTTGTGGTTGAGACTGGTAAGAACCCCAGCTGGCTCACAGGGGCTGTGTGTGTGGGAGGGGATTTTCCGGGTTGTGGAGGTTGCCATAGAGGGCCTCAGCTCTCCTTTCCTCCAGGACCACTGCCAGACCTGGCTTTAGGGACTCGGGCTATATTCAGCCTGGCAAGCCATGGCAGCCCCAGCCCCTGGATCGCCTGGCTGGAGACCAATGGGGACACCTCCACAGAGGTGAGCTTGTGTGCTCCTCCCACGGCGGCCGTGGGTCGGTACCTCTTGAAAATACACGTCGACTCCTTCCAGGGGTCTGTGACAGCCTACCAGCTCGGGGAGTTCATCCTGCTCTTCAATCCCTGGTGCCCAGGTAAGGCCGGGTGCCCATGTGGTGCCCTCATCTCTCTTCTGTCAGTGCTACCAGAGAGACAGGCTCAAGAGTTTCTAGACCCCGCTCCCAAACCACCCAGAGCCTCCCCAATTCTCTGCACTCAGCATCCACCCCAACTACCAACAATTAGGGCAGGGGCCGGGCGCGGTGGCTCAAGCCTGTAATCCCAGCACTTTGGGAGGCCGAGGCGGGTGGATCACGAGGTCGAGAGATCGAGACCATCCTGGTCAACATGGTGAAACCCCGTCTCTACTCAAAATACAAAAAATTAGCTGGGCATGGTGGCACCTGCCTGTAATCCCAGCTACTCAGGAGGCTGAGGCAGGAGAATTGCCTGAACCCAGGAGGCAGAGGTTGCGGTGAGCCGAGATCGTGCCATTGCACTCCAGCCTGGGTAACAAGAGCGAAACTCCATCTCAAAAAAAAAAAAAAAATTAGGGCAGGAAACCTTGCTATTCATTTGCTTATTTAGAATTTTCAAATTATATACCGAATCATCTTTGCTTAACCAGAAAAATTGTTACAATTAAGTTTGATTGTGAATAACCTTTACCTTCATCACATATTGCCAAGTTAAGTAGAATTTTTTCATTATAAAAGTAATGAATGCATTACATTATTTATGGAATGAAGCAAAGGGTTCAAGAAAATAAAAGAAAAAGTATAAAGTAAAAAGTAAAGCCTCCCAATCTCTAAGTTCCATTCAACAGCAGTTCTATTTTCCAGATTCCATTCACCTTTAACATTTTATTGTTTTACAGTTTTATAAAAGTGTTCTATGCTTTTATAAAAGTAGTTTTATAAAAGTGTTAAATGCTTAATCAAATATATATGGCTCTTTGTGTATGTGTGTGCGCGTGTGTGATTCTACAATACATACCACAAGTGAGATTATATAGTACATATCATTCTTCAGCTTTTTTCTTTATTTGACAATTCAACTGTAGGCACATTTTCGTATCGGAGCATTCTTCTTTTTTTTTTTTTTTCTTTTTTTGAGACAGAGTCTCCCTCTGTTGCCAGGCACCAGGCTGGAGTGCAGTGGCACCATCTCGGCTCACTGCAACATCCGCCTCCCAGGTTCAAGCAATTCTCCTGCCTCAGCCTCCTGAGTAGCTGAGACTACAGGTGCATGCTTCCATGCCCACCTAATTTTTGTATTTTTTAGTAAAGACAGGGTTTCACCATGTTGGCCAGGATGGTCTCAATCTCTTGACCTCATGATCCTCCCACCTCCGCCTCTCAAAGTGCTGGGATTATAGGCGTGAGCCACCGGGCCTGGCCCAGATCATTCTTCTTAACCTACAATAATTTGACTGTTTGGATCCACCAAATATTTTTAACTAGTTCTCTATGGGCATTCTGGCTGTTTCCAGTTTTTTTTTTCCTTCTATAAACAAAGCCACAGTAAATATCTCACACTACCTGTCCCACAAGCCCTGATCTCTAAATCTAGTTGGGGACAGGGCTAGATGCATAGGCAGACACAAGGACACAATTTGGGCAGAAAGGGTCAGGATTAGAGTGAGTCTGTTGCGCCTTTGAACAGAGGCCAGACTCCCAAAGTCTGGCTTCTGACTTGGGGGTCAATCCCATTCCCGTCTTCCCTCTCTTTCTACCTTCTCCCCCAACCTTATCCCAAGGGGACCTCTTGGGTCACGTCAGGACCCAGAGCCCTGGTTGGGTTCTACTGCCCCTAACCACTTCCCACTTCCCTGTCCCCAAATGGCTCAGAACCCTCATCCATCAGCCATCAGGTGAAGAGACCCTGTCATGGGATCAAGGAGAGCCAGTCGACTATTTTCCATCTGCCTCTGTCTCATCTTTCTCTCTCTCTGGGGGCCTTCTGAGCAGTGGGTAGAAAAGTATTCATAGTGGAGCCTTCTCTCTTGAGCTTGTGCCACACCCAGCCCCTGGGGAGACCCAACTCTGGTCCTAGGTGTTGGTGGGGGCTAAAGTATCCTGTGGTGCTGCAGGATGGGAGGGTACTAGCTGGGAAGCCTCACTATGTAGCTCAGGCCACTGCTGGCCCTGGTTGAGAGGAGGGTGCTTGTGGTCTCAACCATGAACCTGCAGCTTCTCACCACACTGTCACAAACCCCCAATAAAATACATTTCAGCAATGAGTTCTCTTGCACTAGCCTCCTGCAGGCTGTGTCCAAGGCTGCCTCTGAGGAACGCACCTTCCCTTCAGGGTCAGGCAGAGCTTCCAGACAGTTCCAGGACCCTGCAAAGAGGGCGTCTGTTCCCATGGCCTTTTGTTTGTTTGTTCTTAACTTTTGAAAGATAATTTTTAACTTTTATTTTAGGTTCAGGGGTACATGAACAGGTTTGTTGCATAGGTAAATTGCATGTCACAGAGGTTTGGTTTGATGCAGATTATTTTGTTACCCAGGTAATAAGTGTATTACCCAACAGGTACTTTTCAATCCTTACCTTCCTCTCACCCTCCACCTTCAACAAGCTCCATTACTTTCAATGGCAAAAACCACAATTACTTTTGCACCAGCCTAATGTTAAGATATTTTTGAATTGACTTCAAAACCCTCTGTTCATATGGGCAGAAGGTGTATATATATATATATATAAATATATATATATATAAATATATATATATATAAATTATACACATATAAACCAAATATATAATGTATATATAAATTCATGCTGTAAACATTGTTCATAATCAGTTTAGATTTCATATGTCATATACAGATTTCCATGTCCATGTACACAATTTTGCCATCTTACATCACCACAGCATGGGATTTTGTGGTGGAGACATACTGAAGTTATTTAACTACTCCCCAAGAACAGGGCATATAGTTTATTTCCAGCTTTTCTATATAATAAACAGCACTCAGAAGAACAGCTTAGTGTCTAAGTCTTTGTACGTATATGAAATGGAATAATGAGGTCAGTGCCAACCCTTAAGGTCTCATTTGCTCTTTTCCAACCAAGATTAATATAACAGAAAGGTACAGAATATGGAATCAGTGTGCTGTGTTCTATTTCCAGCTTTGTACTGATGTGTGATTTGGGCAATTTACTTAATCACTCTGAACCTCTTTCCTCAACCTTAAAATGGGGGTAAGATGTAAACGTGCTTTGTAAACCAAGAAATTCCACCAAAGGTAAATTTTTATTGTTCACTTCATGTTCATTTTGAGCCTGTTGCTGGTGTTGGGAGTGTGGACTAGACCCACCAACTTGTGCCCCTCTTGGTGTCGCTAGGGGTCCTTGCTCCAGAGCTCAGTTTCCTCTGGGACTATGGGGATGAGAATGGGACAGGAAGGGAAAGGTGACTTTTCTGCTTCATACCCTCCCACTCTGGTTCCTAGAGGATGCTGTTTACTTGGACAGTGAGCCCCAGAGGCAGGAGTATGTCATGAATGATTATGGCTTCATCTACCAAGGCAACAAGAACTGGATCCGCCCATGTCCCTGGAACTATGGACAGGTGAATCTCAGCCCTTCTCATGGCCAGTCCTGGCCCTGAGCTTGTGGAGGGAGGGAGCAGGAAGCACATGAGTTTCACCTAGAACTGCTGACCAACACTAACTAAATGGCATGAGGAAGATGTGTGTTGTGAGCCCAGGTTGCTTAAGAAGCAGCCATAGGGAATGGGATGGTCTGTCCTTTGCTGATTGTGTCCGATTTGGACAGCAAGAGCTAAGGGAAGGGTAGTTACAGGCACCTCTACCAGGAATTCCACTGAGCATGAGAGTGAGGACGGAGGACATGGAAGCCACCACAGCAGTGATGATGCCTGGCATTTTGGTTTATTAAACTGCTTTTCCCCTGGGGTCCCATTTTCTACTGTCTCACATCATCCTCACAACCCCTCATGACTGACCCTACCATCAATTCTGTCATATAAAGGATAACTTGTCCCCTGAACATCTCAGCCAGAAGCAGGGCTGACGAACAGTAATACATCTCCCTCCCCATGGCTATTGTCTCTTTGTGCGTATTGTTGATGATGCATCTCTTTTAATGATGAAAGTTAATACATTATTGTTTAAAAAGCTTTGCAAAGAAACATTACAAAAATGGATACATGAAGGTCATTCCAAGCACCATCACCAGCGTAGTGTATGTTCCTCTACATTAATTTTCTACACACATTCTAAAACGCTACTTTATATGTAAAAATAACGTCATATTAATTGCAATGCTCTGCACCTCCTGCCTTTCTAAAAGCCTGCCTCTCATTTCAAATTCAGCCTGCAGCAGAGGCTTCAGGAAGTCCAGTGCCAGGCAAGGAATAGGGCTCTTGAGGCTGAGCCCCAGTGCCAAGAGCACTGTGGGAGGGAGAGGATCAGCCCTCAGCTGTCAACTGGGAAACTCTGGGGGTCCCCATGGAGCCTTGTCTCAGCTTTATATGGGTTCCTCTCCTGGACCTGCCCAAATAGTACTCCAACACATGTACCCTTCCAGCCCCAGCCTGGGCATAGGGATGGCTATAGCCAAGATGAGATATAGCAGCCTCAACTGGCCCCAACTCACATCCCCAATCCTCACTTAGCATGGGCAGATTGGGCATCCGAGAGACCTGGATGGGAGTTGGCTGCCATCTGTGAGAAACAGAAGTGAGGGATTGCTGCTTTCTCAGCCCTGGGTCCCTCTGTCTCTTTTGTTGTTGTTGTTGTTGTTGTTGTTGTTGTTGTTGTTGTTGTCGTTGCTGTTGTCTGGTTTTTTTTTTTTTTTTTTTTTTTTTTTTAGAGTTATAATCCAATCTTTATTTAAAAATCTAATATGCGAGCTTAGCGTTTTCCACCAACTCGGGGAGCTGAAACTTTCACAGGCTTCACAATCTTTTGCTTAGGTGCTGCCTTTGTAGGTGCCTTAGCAGCAGCCATTGCAGTCTTTTTAGATGCTTGCTTAGCCTTTTTTGCTTCCTTGGCAGCCCTGATAGCTTGTTCTCGTTGAGCCTTTCTAACTTCAGGTTTCTGATTCCTCTTGGCCATTATATCAGCAAGAGATGCACCAGTAATGGCCCTCTGGAATTTGACTGCTCGGCGCGTTCTTTTCTTTTGAATTTCTTCCGACTGTCCCTTTTTGTGCTTTCTTCTGTAGAGGACAGTCCAGTTTATCTGCCGAGGATTCCTCTTGGAAAGGAACGCCGACTCGCATTTTGCATTAAGAAACTGGAAAACCTTCCCGTCGGTCCTGGCGTAACGCCTCCCGTGTCCAGGGTAGACCTTGTACCCGCTGAAACTGCACAGCTCGACCTTCATGGCGGCGGCCGCACGGGTGGTTTTTTATTTTTGAGACATGGTCTCACTCTGTCACCCAGGCTGGAAGACAGTGGTGAGATCATGTCTTGCTCCAGCCTTGACCTCCTGGACTCAAGTGATCCTCCCAAGTAGCTGGGACTACAGGCATGCACCACCATGCCTGGCTAATTTTTTAATTTTTTGCAGAGATGAGGTCTCGCTGTATCGCCCAAACTGGTCTTAAATTTCTGGGCTCAAGTGATCCTCCTGCCTCAGCCTCCCAAAGTGTTGGGAATACAGGTGTGTGCCATCGTGCCTGGCCCATTTCTGTCTTTCTTCTTCATTAAATGTATGTTGATTGCCTCCTCAGTGCCAGGCAGGGTGCTAAGTTCCAGAGACATGAAAATGAATACAACATAGTTCCCTTACCTTACAGTGTAGTGGGGACTCAGACACATTTACAGGTCAATTATCATGCAGTGGGATATGTAAAGATTGAAAGTCAGGGGCAGGGTGTTCTGAGAGCCAAGGGGAAGAGCCCTTGACTGGGCATAGGGGTATGTTAGAAACTTCCTGGGAGAGGAGCTGTTTGAACTGAGTTAATTAACTAAGTGAAGGATGGTAGGAAAAACATCCCAGGCAGAGGGAAGTCATGAGCAAAGACACGATGGTGGGAAACAGTTAAACCCAATGCAGGAATTTGGTGTTGCTGGAGCAAAAATGGTGGGGATGGGGTTTGCAGGGGATTATTGAGACCTGAGGCTGGAGAGGTAGGTTGGAGCCAGATGTAGGAGGAACTTATGTGCCTTTTGAAGGAGGTTGGAGCTTTGATTCTCTAGGCTCTAGGGGGCCTTTGAAAATTTTAAAATAGAAAAGTGAGCAGATCAGACTACCCCCTGGGGAAGATTGATCAGAGAAGCCTCCTAAATCTTTGTGTTGCCCAGTGTTACATAGGAATAAATCCACTAATGTACACTTGTTCTACAAAGACGTACAGAATTCCTGCAATGTGCTGGGCACCGTGCCAGACCTAAGGTCCAGAGTTGTGAAGAGAGCTGGACTGAAACAGTGCTGACACTCAGGCAGGAAAAGACAGACTTGACAACATCATGTAACTGAGTCTCATGAGGAGAGGGGACATACTCAAGGCTGTGGAGCTAAAGCAGGCTCAGACCTGGGGAAGGCCTCAGAGGGAGTGGATTTCATATCAGGTCTCTAGGACCAGGAGGAGCCAGCCTGGCTTGGGTGGGAAATTTCCATAACTCATATGCAGTTAGTCAGCCTAGAGCCCCAGTGAATCACGGGTGCCATGGCAGGTTGGCACGATCACTTCAGCAGTAGCTGCCAATGCTAAGCTGGATCAGCAGGTGAATGTGGAAGCAGAGGCAATGTGGTTGTAGCAAGAACATCCTGTGGGCTTCCAGGAGTGTGGGGATTGAGAGGAGAGGAGGGAGACTTTTCAGTTAGACTCACTGGGGAAAAAACCCAGAACAACCCAGCAGGAGCAATAGTCATCTTGGAGTGAAGGGGAGGGATTTGGTGTGCAGGGCATAAACACCAGGTGAATTGTGACCCTAGAGCTTTGAAACCCCACACCTGAATGGGAGGAAATTCATGGCTGTTCTGTTTGACACAGTTACCTTCCAAGTGGGTTAATATTCCACTGGGGAGTGGGGGGTGGTCATTACTTTTTACATCCTCCCACGTGACAAGCGTGATTGCCTTCTCTCTCGGCCTCTCCCCCTGAAGTTTGAAGAGAAAATCATAGACATCTGCCTGCAGCTGCTAGACAAGAGCCTGCACTTCCAGACTGACCCAGCCACAGACTGTGCCCTGCGGGGAAGCCCTGTCTACGTCAGCAGAGTGGTGTGTGCCATGGTGAGGTCCCTGATATGTCCGGGGAGGGAGGAGGCTGTGCAGGGGGAGCCCTGCCCACTCACATTTGCCCCCTGCAACTGGTGAGAGGGACCCTCTGGCAAAGCCATCTTGGATGAGACTGACGCCAGAATGTGGGTAACAAGTTTTCTCAGCCGAATTCTGAAATAGCTGGGTGTGGGCCATCACCTCTATTAATTCCAAATTGCATGTTTTGAGAAAGGGTGAGTGTTGCTGTGGTTTGAGAAACGGTCTTGCTGTCTCTAAATTTCCTCTGTTCTGAAGTGTTTTTTAAAGTTTTCAGAGCCAGGCTTCAGTTTTGCAGGGGATGGGAGGATATGGGTAAGGGGTAGATAGGAACAGAATAATAAAGGAATTCACAGTGGAGCAGAAGTCAGAAGAGTCAACCTCCATCCTAATCCCACCCCAGAAGGTCTGGAAGTCCCCACTAAAATGCAGTCAAAAGTTTCTCCTGCTTCTCAGGCCCATGGGTCTTCCGAGGCAGCCCACATGTGACATGTTGAGGAAATGGATGTTTCTAACACTTCGCTATATGGCTTCTCTTCAGATCAACAGCAACGATGACAATGGGGTGCTCAATGGAAACTGGAGTGAGAATTACACAGATGGCGCCAACCCTGCGGAGTGGACTGGCAGCGTGGCCATCCTGAAACAGTGGCATGCCACAGGGTGCCAGCCTGTGCGCTACGGGCAGTGCTGGGTCTTTGCTGCCGTCATGTGCACAGGTAGGAGGTAGAAACGACCCCACGAAAAGGTCCTAAGTGTAGCTGCTCGTGTATGAGGCTTCTGAACCATTCTCATCCCCATCCCACAGTTCCCACCAAGGGACATTTGGAAGGAAGAACTTTCCCTCTCTAAAATGTCTCGGCCAGGCACCAGTAGCTCACGCCTGTAGTCCCAGCACTTTGGGAGGCCGAGGTGAGTGGATCATGAGGTCAAGAGTTCAAGATCAGCCTGGCCAAGTTGGTGAATCCCTATCTCTACTAAAATGGACACAGGGAAGGGAACATCAGGCACGTGGGTCTGTCAGGGGATGAGGGTCTAGGGGAGGGATAGCATTAGGAGAAACACCTAATATAGATGATGGGTTGATGAGTGCAACAAACCACCATGGCCTGTGTATACCTATGTAACAAACCTGCACATTCTGTACATGTACCCCAGAACCTAAAGTATAATTTAAAAAATACAAAAATTAGTGGGATGGGTGGCAGGTACCTGTAATCCTAGCTACTTGGGAGGCTGAGGCAGGAGAATTGCTTAAGCCTGGGGGGCAAAAGTTGCAATGAACCAAGATCATGCCACTGCACTCCAGCCTGGGCAACGGAGTAAGACTTCATCTCAATAAATAAATAAATAAATAAATGAATAAATAAATAAATAAAATGTCTCATCATGGACCTCAGACTGCACATGTCTGGGCTCATGTCAGACCATGGTTCTGAAGTGAGAGTCACATGTCCGAGGATGCCTGGCATCCTTGCTTCTTCTGAGCTTAGGCAACCTACCAGCATATTCCTAAGAGCCTGGCTGGGAACTGTCTAGGTTCAAGACAGAAATGAGATGAGAGGCTGAGTAATTAGGAAACTACAAACTGATTAGTGTCCTTTCTGAGCACAGAGAACAGGCCAATGAAGATGTGCACAGGGCTGTAATGTGGGCCATGGGGTCAGAGCAAGATGGCAACCCAAGGAAAATCACCTTGAATTTGGAGTTGTTCAGGGCCTGGTAGCCTGACTCTGGCCAGAGAGTTAGAGGAAGGGAAAAAACGTGAGGTCAGCATTTCAGATAGGAAATGGATACTACATTAGTAGAGGAAAAACTGAAAAATACACATGGGGAAAAGATGGTAAATGGAAGTTGGTTTGTGGGTGGCAAGAGGAGGAGATAGGGAGGAAATCTTGAGGGGAGTGATACTTGGAAATGAGTCACACACTGGAGGTAAAAGGAGGAGGCTTTCTGCCTCACCTAGAGCCAAGCGCATGCGCCGGGTCCCCACCCTTGCCCTGCCCCACACTCTGGCCAGCTCTTGGCCTCTTGGCCTGCACATGCTGATTTGGGTGGCAATCACAGAATTGTTTGTTAAGCTGGGGAGAGAGGCCACACAAGATTTTTGCTCACAGGACTCTAGTTGAAGCCAGGTATACCATATTTGCCCATAACTTCGTGTTTATTGGGGGCTCAGATCTTCTGGGCAGTATTTTGTGTGTGACAAAGTTTAGTGCATTTCATGTGCATATATGTGCTGGGCCCATCTCTGGGCTCTAGGAAGAATGCAACATCCCTGGAGGAAGCTCAGAGAGCCCCAGGAGTCTGTCCAAGGGCACGAGGAAGTGTTGCCACTGAGAGAGTGACTTTGCCCAGTTAATGAGAATGATCAGTAAGTCCCAAGCTTACTACTCTTCAGCTACAGAGCCAGTTCTTGAGTTGGATGAGTTGAGTGCCCAGGTGTAGGAAAGAAGGAATTCCACAGCTTTGAAACTCCAAGTCATGAAGATTTGGGTGAAATGGGAGGTCTGAGTCCTTCCAGAAGCAGGCACAAGACTGACAGGTAGAGACTAGATCTTGGACAAGATAGAAAGGGAACCTTCCAGTATATGGAAAAGCCTAACATCTAATGGGCCAGGAACGTGTGTATAGAAGGAGTGAGCCAGGTTTGGGTGTGGTTGTCTGGAATTGGGTGATGAGAGAAGTGGAGCCAGTGAATGGAGATTATGCAATGACAGTAGACCAATTAACATGTTTATGAGAATCATGGCCCTTTAGTGACCTGGAAAACAAAGGGCTGGGCAAAGTAGGTCAAACATGGCCTGGTCCCCTGTAGTTCAATCAGCACCAACCTTCCCCAAAAGGGCTAACATGTTATATATTAATAAATACAGTAGTTTGAAAAACTCATTCCTTCATCCAACAATATGTATTGAGTCCTTATTCTCTACCAGGCACTAACTGGGTCCCAAGAACTCTTGGATATGAGATGAGTAATACCCAGCTTCTGTCTTCAACCAAAGTTAAAGATTTAGTCAAACTCCTTAAACTCAAACAGCTCCCAAAGCATGTTTTTTAAAAATATATACATTATTATTTCATAGCCACAATAACTAATGTTTATTGGGCACTTCCTTTGCGCCAGGCATAGTTCTAAAACCCTAACAGCATAGAGTAGTGGAGAAGCATATGGACTCTGGAGGCAGGCTGCGTGAGGTTGCACACCAGCACTACCATTAATTGTCTGAGTGACCTTGGGCAAATCATTTAATCTGTGCCTCATACATCCTCTGATGTATGAGGGGGAAAGTAATGGTACCTACCTCATGGGATTATTGAAGGGATTGAGTGAGTTCACACTGGAGAGTGCTTAGAAAAGTGCCTGACCATAGTGAGTGTTCAGGAAGCATCAGCTAGGGTTATCTTATCTAATCCCCTGAATGACCTTATGAGGTGGGACCTATCATCTCCATTTTGCAGATAAGGAACTTGAGTGGCAGAGCCAGTCTCCTACCCAAGTCTGGCTGGCTCTGCAAGCCATGCTCTAACCATTAGGACATACTGCCTCATGAACATTGATAACAGCTGCCATTAATCTAGCACTAAGTCCGTTAGGAACACACTGGGCACTTACACTTTTACTAATCCTGACCACCACCTGCAAAGCTGATATCATTACAGCCATTTTACAGATGAAGAAGCAGGCTTAAAGAGACCAAGGGCCTCTGGTCTGACTTGGACGTGCATCTCCCCTCTACAGCCCTGCCTCCCAGTGTTGCCTTTCAACATGTTGACACATTAACTTCAACTTCCCATAGAAAAATCACAAAAGGAGGCTTTGTGTGCATCAAAGATGAGGTTGTAATTTTTGAGATGTGCTGTGTTCTTGGCATCCATTTAGTTGCCTGTTACTTGAGAATTTTAGAGAACCCCTTGGCCTACCCTTCCTGTGCTCAGGGCCACCCTAGAGTTGTAAGTCCTTGACCTCTTCTTGTTCTGGTCGTTCACTCTTTGACAAGGTTGGGACCCTCAGCTCTTGGCCGAGGTCTGGGAAATAGCCTGGAATGTCTTGCATGATAGCAAGAGAACAGAGGGTACAGTGATGTTCTGTTGCCTGAAAACTCCCCAAAAGCCAGATATGAAAAAGCCACTTAGTTCATAATTTCATACATATGAAAGGTCCAGAATATGCCAATTCATAGAGAGAGAAAGAGTGTGATTGCTTAGGGCTGGGAGGAGGAGATAATTGGGAGTGACTACTAATGTAATGGGGTTTCCTTTTGAGATGAAAATGTTTTGAAAGTAGACAGTGGAGATTGTTGTACAACCTGTGACTATATTACAAACCACTGAACTGTACACTTTACAAGGGTGAATTTTATGCTATGCGAATTGTGTCTCAAGAAAATTGTTTGCGAAAAAGCCAGGGATCCTGGGAATACGCCTGCTCTATTCTTGCTCATAACTGCCTGGGGTTGGAAGTTGGGTGGAGGACAGCAATGAGTTGGGCTGAGGGTTGGGAGGTACTAATGTGTGAATAGAGGGAGGTGTACGGCATCATCCCTCTTCTGTAAAATCAGGTCCTAGGTCCTAGGGGCTGTAAGGCGAAGGGGAAGTGGGAAACAGTGTGGGAGATGGGAGGCTGCCTGGTTGGGACTGGGACTGGACCCTCCTCTTCAACTAAAGCAACCCCACTTGCATGTCTTTTATATATCAAATCCTCACTTATGATTGGCTTGCATATAGCATCCTCTGCTTAATACCTTTTTGAAAACCCCTGAGCTAGATATTATCTAAGATTTTTCTAACTCAGTTATGTAGAGGTCTTTATAAAGTATCTCATCATCATTTCAATACAATAACTCTTGTTCTCATTGTTTTTACCCTTAAGTCTCAAAGAAGGAACCGCAGCCAAGGCCCTGATGCATTATTTTACCTCAGCCTTTTCTTGGATCCCAGTTCAAACTTTTTTTGTGCAATGCCCTGGACTAAACAGAAACCTGCCATTATTTTCAATTGATTTCCATTGACATACTATTGTATGGAATGTTCCCTCATCAGATTGTTGACAAATATATGAAGAGTAGATAGAAAGATGTCTGGCACATAGTCTTACCTAATTGTTAGCTATTATAATCAGTCTGGTACTGTTTTAATCTCTGCCTCTTGGGCTCTAGGGGTTTGGCTGGGTCTTGTCCAAAAGTTGTTTCTAGCTATCACAGAAACTCCAGTTACCTTCTCTACCACTTTTTCTCCCTTTTATTTCCTTTCTTTCCTCCTTGGGATGTTTAGGGTTAACTATATTCCTCATTTCATGGCACTTAGCATAATTGGTTTGCTCAGGCCCCTCTTTGTAAAGGGGCCCTCTTATTAAAATTAATCAATTAATGTCTCCCTTTTATCTCATAGCCTACTTCCATTCACCTCCCTGCATGATAGATAAACATTTTAATGTGTTTAATATGTAGCATTGTAGTTCGATGTGTTTTCACAAAAAAAAATAATATTATTGGCCAGGTGTGGTGGCTCATGCCTGTAATCCCAGTACTTTGGGAGGCTGAGGTGGGCAGATCATGAGGTCAGGAGATCGAGACCATCCTGACCAACATGGTGAAACTCTGTCTCTACTAAAATACAAAAAAAAATTAGCCGAGTTTGGTGGAGTGTGCCTGTAGTACCAGCTTTTCAGGAGACTGAGGGAGAGGAATCACTTGAACCCAGGAGGTGGAGGTTGCAGTGAGCCGAGATTGCACCCACTGCACTTCAGCCTGGCAACAGAGCCAGACTCCATCTCAAAAAAAAAAAAAAAAAAAATCATATTATTATCTTTGTGCAGTATTTTATTCAGTATAGCTTTGGTTTTATATATTGTATTTTTCTTTTATATGTATATAGTTTTATTTTTCTTTTTTAAAGGCTAGTCAAGTGAAGCAGTGGGAGTGGAAAAGAAACAAAGAAATCTGTATCTGGTTGTGATGAATTAGTGATAAACACCACTGCACTTGGACCAGCGTGTATTTTTCATCTTTAGAAGTTCCACTGGGTCTTTTTTTTTTAACCTTCCGTTTTTCTTCTCATTATGTTCATGTTTTTCTATACTCCCTCTTGAGCATTTTGAGCATATTTATAATATTTAAAATAGCTCTCTGAGGTCCTTGTCTGCTTTTTTTTGAGGTCGGCTTTTTAAAAAAATAATTTCAAAATTAGCTGGGCATGGTGGCACGTGCCTGTGATCCCAGCTACTCAGGAGGCTGAGGCAGGAGAATTGCCTGAACCTGGGAGGCGGAGGTTGCGGTGAGCCGAGATCGCGCCATTGCACTCCAGCCTGGGTAACGAGCGAAACTCTGCCTCAAAAAATATATAAATAAATGAAAATAATTTCAACTTTTGTTTTAGATTCAGGAATACCTGTGCAGGTTTGTTACATGGGTATATTATCTGATGCTGAGGTTTGGAGTATGAATGATTCATCACTCAGTGCTAATTTCATTATCTCTGGCATTTCTGGATCTGGTTCTATTAATTAATTTTTCTCCTGGCTATGAGCCATATTTTCATGTTTCTTTGCATGCTTGCTCATTTTTTTATTGTGTTATGTTGTTGAGAACTGGATTTTGTTTTATTTCTTTAAAGGACTTTGTGTGGTACAGCAATAAATTCCTTGCAGATCGATTTGAGCTCTTGGAGATTTGTTTTTAAGCTTTGTTATGATGACTCCGGAGCAATCTTGACTCTAAGCTTAATTTAGTCCCACTGCTAAGTCATGCCTCTTCTGAAGACTCTTATCAAACGCCTTATGTATTATGAAGCCTCTCCACTCTATTGCTTTATCTCCCTCCCTGCCCTCCTCCTTGGCAAATTTTCTTGTTACTGTGAGTGTCATCCACCCTCCTGACTGTACTTTTAGCATAAATGTGTCCCTGCAATGCTGCTGTCTTTCCTCACTGCTATCTCAGGGTCCTTCAGTGACAGCTTTTCAATCTTCAGCCTCACCTCTGCAGCTGTCCTGTTTCACCTCCACCTACAACCCACTTGTCAGCTCTGCCCATTCCCTGCCCTAGTTCTTCAGCCCTGTTCAGACCTGCCACGTGACGGAAAGCTCAAGGCTCCCTTTGGGTTTCTCTCCTCCCTTTTCTGGTCACATCCAGGGGCCTTTCCCTACCCTGGCCTGGAGAGACTGTGTGCCAAAGTACAGAATAAGAAGAGTGTGAGCTAAAATCTATACGCAATTTAATGTTTAAAGTAAAAATTATAAATTTTTAAAAAATGACCGTAGTGTGTGTAAGAATCCTTAGAAAGAACCATATTTTTGACTCAGTCATTTTAACCCTGAGAATCTGACCCTGGGGAGGGAGATATTGATCTACAAAGCTATTTATTACAGTATTGACAATGGGGAAAATTGAAAACCAGCTAAATGTTTCAAAATAATCATCACTAAAATCTTGCTTTTGGCAAATATTTGATAATACAGGAAAATGTTTGGGATGTAAAATTAGGTGAAAACATGAAAATGCTGAACTGTATACATACTAGTGAGAGCTGGATTTCGTACTGACTGTAAGCTTAGCAGTAAAACCAGGATCTGAGTGACGGCTCTGCCTCTTACAAGCTGTGTGACCTTGGTCAAGGTAGCAAACTTTCTTAGCCTCTGATTCTTTGTCTTCAAAATGGAGATAATAATAGTAAGCAGCATGTAGTGTTGTCCTGAGGATGTGTGTGAAATGTTTAGCACTATGCCCAGCTGGTACATACTGTTATTGTCATTATTAAATTGAGTGGGCTGTCATTGCTGGACTTGAAGGGACAGGGATCCCCAGAGCATTTTGTGATGGGATTTTCCTGTTCTTAAAAGAGCACAGAATGGGGGAGATATGGCAGAAGATAAAGAAAGGAAGTTGGCTGGCAAATAGAATGTGTGGCCCCCAGGAATAGAAATAATACTCTACCTTCTTTCCAGAATTTCCCTACCAGGTAGAAACTCTCACTTTTCTAAGCTCTTGTTACATAGCTTTCTTTTCTTCTTGGCTTTATCTGTGATGCTTCTTTTTGACTTTATCTGTGATGCTTTCCTAGAGAGGCTTCCAAGATCATATACCCAGGAAAAAGGGGGAATCCAAGCCACAGAACTTTTTGCTTAAGAATCTGATGGTCTCAAGCAATAATCCTAACCATAGAAAGGAATAGAATTCCAGCTTTCGCTTGAAGATGGAGACTTAAGGCCAGAATAGAAATGCAGTTGAGTCAGACCTTTGAGTTTTGCCAAAGGATAGGCATGCTTGTCCCACCCTCATGGCATAAGCAGGAGAACTCACAGCTTGCTAGGCTTTCTGTTGGCTTGGACAGTGCTTATCTGAGCTGCCAGCAACCCAATCTTTCCGTAGAATCTCTCTCATGAGCTCCAGAAGTGGGGAAGGAAGTTGGAAATAAATATCACTATTCCAGTGCTCCAGATAGCTCCGGCATGGTCCTGCAGATGGCAAATGAAAGATTTCCCCAGGTCCAGGGCCCTAAGTCCAGGAATACACAGGTCCTGAATCCACAGCTCACAGGTGATTTTTTCTCTGCCCTTTTTGCAGTGATGAGGTGTTTGGGGATCCCCACCCGTGTGATCACCAACTTTGACTCTGGCCACGACACAGATGGAAACCTGATCATAGATGAGTATTATGACAACACAGGCAGGATTTTGGGGAATAAGAAGGATACTATCTGGTGAGAAACAACCTCTCAACCTATTTCTAGGGCCACACATCAGAGCTAAGCCCCATGGCAGGAAGAAGGGCAGGACGATGTCCATGAGCCTTCTCCCCTTCACCTCCTGCACCCCACCCCAAATCTGCCAAGGCTGCCCATACCCCTCTTGCCAATCTTCAGCTGAGAGACAGCTGAGCAAAGCCCATCTAGGGTTTAGGAGTCTCGCACCGTGAGAGTGTCCTGCCCTGTGTTAAGGTTTTCATCTTTGTCACCTCCTTCACAGAACCTCCTGGTTCTGTAGGGCCTAGAGAAAATTTCCCCACTGCCCTCTGAAGATTTGTTTAAAAAAAAAAATCAACTCACTAAATCAGATCAATAGGAGAAAAGGTATATGCATTTATAAACATGTACACTGGAGCCTTCAGAATCCAAAGATACAGGGGAAATTGTCCATTTTTATGCTTAGTCTAACAGAGTATGGACAGCCATGTAGAAATATGCTTGGACAAATGGTATGACCTAATGCTAATAGACTGAGTGGGGAAACCCAGCCCTGTCTGTCTACATTCTGCTTGGCCTCTCTGAGCATGTGTTCCTTCCCAGTATGGGGCAGAACCCTCTCTGGAATGAGGGTCTTATAACCTACAGTCGAACAAGGTAGATCAGATAAATTTCTTATGCCCAGTTTTTATACAAAAAGGCAGAGGGAAGGTTAGGGTAATATTTTTAGGTTTTAAGACTCACTTTGGGGAAAATGGGTTCTGGTTTCCGTCATCTTCCCACCTTCGGGAAGAGAGATTTTAGTTTCTATGGCTAGCCATGGGGGTAAGTGAGACTGAGAGGCATAAAGACAGGAAGAGGTCCAAAAAAACCACTTCTGCTTCTGATACTTTTATTTTGGGGTATTGTTTCCTGAGTCCCAACAGTTCTGATCACAGGACGGCCTTACCTCTGAACACAAAGACCACAAGTGCCTCTGTGAGTCAGCAACACACACAAGAAAGGGTCCATGAAGTCTGTTTTGTGAGACAGTGAAGGATTTTTAACTTCAGTGGACTCTGGAAGACTTTGCTTTCTGTTCACAAGCTGAGTCTGCAGAAGGAAACTCTTTTCTGGGAGGCAAACAGAGGCCCACGAGAGGAAGCTCTGTCACTATTCAGTCAGAGCTTTCACTTAAAAAAATTAATTAACTTTTTTTTTGAAACAAGGTCTGGCTTTGCTGCCCAGGCTGAAGTGCAGTGGTATGATCAAGGTCAATGCAGCCTTGATCTCCCAGGCTCAAGTGATCCTCCACCTCAGCCTCCCAAGTAATTGGGACTATAGGCATGTGCCATGATGCCTAGCTAATTTTTTTTTTTTTTGACACAAGGTCTTGCTTTATTGCCCAGGTTAATCTTGAACTCCTGAGTTCAAGCAATGTTCTCACCTCAGACTCCCAAAGTGCTAAGATTATAGGCAGGAGCCACCGAGCCTGGCTACCCACAGAGGTTTCAAGCCCTGTGTGTGCTAAGTCTGTACAGTTCACTTGGTCATCCATCCCTTTCCTTGTTCTAGAAAGACCAATCAATACTACATCTCCCTTGGCTCTGTTTGACACAGGAACTTCCATGTCTGGAATGAGTGCTGGATGGCCCGGAAGGATCTCCCCCCTGGATATGGAGGCTGGCAGGTACTGGACGCCACACCTCAGGAGACTAGCAACGGTGAGGCTCTCCAGAAGAAAGGCAGGACCCACTCCCATGAAAAGTGCCCCACCCCTGCCCAGCCCTGCAACAAATGGCCCACCGAGGCTCCCCTGTTCTCCTTCAGGCCTCTACTGCTGTGGCCCTGCCTCTGTCAGAGCCATCAAAGAAGGAGAAGTGGACCTGAACTACGACACACCCTTTGTGTTTTCCATGGTGAATGCTGACTGCATGTCCTGGCTCGTCCAGGGAGGGAAGGAGCAGAAGCTTCACCAGGACACGAGTTCTGTTGGCAATTTTATCAGCACAAAGAGCATCCAGAGTGATGAGCGGGATGACATCACGGAGAACTACAAGTATGAAGAAGGTATGACTAAGCCAGGCCTACAAAGAGCCCCAGCCCTCTGGGAACCTTCCCCTATCCTAGAGAGTCAGAGAGCATCTGTGGGGCAGGACCCAGCCCCACTGTCTCCTCAGCTCTTCAGTTTTGAGGCCCCAGTTGGGGTGGCCCCACGGCCTCACTTCCTCATGCCACCTCCACCCCACATCCTGCAGGTCAGCGAGCTCCCACCACAGGTACTCACATGGACTGGAGAGCCTCAACAGAATATGAATCCTTCACCCCTGCTTCTCCCCCCAAAATCAGCCTCCCATTGAAGATGGCAGGGAATTTAGTAAACACTCTGTCATTCATTTATTTTATTTAGGGTATTGTTTAATTCATTGTGTTTCATTGAGTCTTTGGAGGACAGACTGAGGTGAGGCCGGATGTTCACTCCCACCTTCTCCCTGTGGAGCCACAGGGCCAGAAGCTGACTCTGAGGTGACAGCCCTGGCAGCAGGGCCACAGGGGAGGCTATGTTGGTCAGGTATAGATGAATGCCTAGAAATTGAGAACGGCCAGTCACTGGGTTCAACCACCAGGGAGCAAGGCAAAAATATCCAGTCCATGAAGGCTAGAGGCAGGGTGAGGGCCAGAGCTGGGATCTGGCTGGGGAGGATCTAGGCAGGCACAAGGCAGGGTGGGTAGAGAGTGGTGGGGAGGGCCGATCAGTTGCTGGGAGTACTGGTAAGTGGGTGTCTGTGGTTCATCTACATGGGCCTCAGGGACAGACGGATGGAGGCTCCAGAATTCCCTGCCTGGAAAGAGGATCCGCAGTAGGGGATGAGTGTTGAACACAGCCCAACAGTGGCATCACCACCCACTTCCTGGGGACTCTGGCCTCATCTTGGCTGGGTTGCCCTGGAAATGGATCCTGAGGCAAGGATTCAAATACAAGTGGTTTATTTATGAGGCAATCCTGGAAATCCTGGTAGCAGAGTGAGGAAGCGAGACAGGAAAGGGAAGGAAGTGGATGTAGAGTACATTTTCAAGCCTGTTAGCACAATGGACAGCTGGCTGGGAGCTCTGGGAGTGAGGCTGCCAGGGAAAATACAGGACGAACAATGCTTTAGTGTGAGTATGTCCCAGGCCAGGAGCTATAGCTTATACCTGCAATCCCAACACTTTGGAAGGCTGAGATGGGAGGATCGCTTTAGCATAGGAATTCGAGACTGCAGTGAGTTATGATGTTACTGCTGTATTCCAGCCTGGGCAACAGAGTAGAACCCATTTCTTAAAAGAAAAAAGAAAAAGTCCCAAATTATTTGTTATTTATTTGAAATTCAAAATAAATTACCTCGTAATTGTTTGCTAAATCTGGCAACCCTGTCACTGATTCAGTGTGAAGTGTAGAACAACACTGCAGATTTATTGCAGCAGAGAGGCACAGGAGCTAGGGTATTTATCCATCAACTTCTGTCGATCATGAGTTGAGGGCTGTTCCTGGGGGATGTAAATTCTGTAGCACTTCTGGCCCACCCCATGCCTGAGCTGAGTCTGCTCAGGTGACAGAGAGTCTCAGACCGAGTTGCAGGGGATGCAATTTGAAAGTAGGGCTTGTGGGCACTGAAATGGCAAATACAAAGGGAATATGGGCAGGGCTTTAACAGCATTTGATAGAGAGGCCCATAGGGTCCCATGTGGACTCAGGGGGATTGGAGCCATATCCTGGTGGGCCTGAGTGTCCTACTCAGATGTTCCTTGGGCCAGTCTCCTTCCATCCAGCCGGACAGGGTCTGGGGTTGCACAGACCACAAATGTGCTAAATTGGATTCCCATCTCTTTGGGTCCACTCTTTTTTTTTTTTTTTTTTTTTTTTTTTGAGATGGAGTCTCAGAGTCTGCAACCTCTGTTTCCCAGGTTCAAGCAATTCTCCTGTCTCCTACCTCCTGAGTAGCTGGGATTACAGGTACCTGCCACCATGCCTGGCTAATTTTTTTTTTTGTATTTTTAGTAGAAATAGGGTTTCACCATGTTGGTCAGACTGGTATCAAACTCCTGACTTCAGGTGATCCACCCCACCTTGGCCTCCCAAAGTGCTGGGATTACAGGTGTGAGTCACCGTGCTCAGCCTGTTGGCCCACTCTCACTGAAGTAAATGTCTCCAGATTCTCTTTTGTCTGGAACCGGGTTTAGAAAGACCCCCAGAGCAAGGGGACGAAAGTGGCCTCTGCCTAAGGATGTTGTGGCAAATGCATTGAAGGGGTAGAGCTGGTCCCTGGGGACAGTAAGTACTCAACAAAGGCAGCTTCTGGAATTATAAGGAAGGCAGGGGCGAGTACTCCTCCACATGTGACCCACAGGGACCCCTGAGATAGAGCAGGGAACCTGGGGCCACTCTGGGAACTCTGCATGCCTAGACTTCCTCTCATATTTATATACTTATTTGCTGCACTTCTCCGTTCCTCAGCTTCCAGGAATTAGTCTCTCCCTGACCAATAATCTGGCTCCAGAACAGGAAATCACACCATCCCCTGATGTCTTTAAGAGATTTCTTTCTCTGCATTTGTGGGCCTTTGTTTTTCCCTTGAGGACATCAGGATAGGATCAAGTGGCCACAAGCACAGGTTTTAGAGTTGGGCACGTTTGGTTTCCACCTGGGCTCTGCTCCTTGTTAGTCGTGTGACTTGGGCAGGTGGCGTGACTTCTTTTAGCCTCCTTTTCTTTATCTCTGAATGGAAGAAGAATAAGAAGAAGAATGATAATGGTAATACACCTTGCTTGTGGTTGATATAGGAAGAAGGGTGTGAAGTACCCAAAAGAGCCTGCCTGGGAAAGCTCACAAGGAGGGGAGGAAATGCTTGTTACTGGGAATGAAGGCTTGAAGTTGTTGGTGGAGATACTGGGTGAGGGATGGCATTCAGCCTCAGCCTACCCGGATCGGCCTGGCTCACAGCTAGTGCTGTGCTCTCTCCCATCAGGTTCCCTCCAGGAGAGACAGGTGTTTCTGAAGGCTCTGCAGAAGCTGAAGGCTAGAAGGTTCCATGGCTCCCGAAGAGGAGCAGAGTTACAACCTTCCAGGTCCACACCACTGAGCCAGGACAGCCCTCGGAGCCTAGATGTGCCTTCCCTTCGACCCAGTGATGTGGTCCAGGTCTCCCTGAAATTCAAGATGCTTGACCCACCCAACATGGGCCAGGATATATCCTTTGCTCTGCTGGCCCTCAACATGTCCTCCCAGTTCAAGGACCTCAAAGTGAACCTGAGTGCCCAGTCTCTGCTGCATGATGGCAACCCCCTGCCCCCATTCTGGCAAGATGTAGCGTTCATCACACTCTCTCCTCAAGAAGGTACACACATGCACAGATTTTGTACGCAGAGTCGGTTTTGGCAATGTCAGTGGGGTTGAGCCAGCCAACAGGGTTCTGGGATCAGACCCCTGAGACCCTGTTATTCCTACTGTCCTCTCCGGTATAGACTCCCCCTCCTTCCCTCTTCTCTTTCCTTCTCCCTTCCTTCCTAGTATCTCCTTCTCTTCTCTCCCTCCTTTCTCTTTCTCCTCCTTTCCATCCCAATAAAAGTAGCTGATTTTGCAGGAAAAGCCTGAGATTTGGAGTCTTTGAGACCTTGGTTGGCTCCTCAGCTCTCCCATTTCCTAGCAGAATGGCCTTGGGCTGCCATTTTGGCTCTTTACAGCTCATTTCCTCATCTGAAAAGCTACCACCTGCTTCTCTGGGACTGGGTACATGTTGATTCCCTCTTCTCTGTGGAAGAGGGCCTCAGGTCTGGCTGATTTTTTCAGCTATTCTCACCCAATCCTTGTGTTCTCTCTTTAGCAAAGGCCTACCCCTGCAAAATCTCCTATTCCCAGTACAGCCAGTACCTGTCAACAGACAAGCTGATCCGCATCAGCGCCTTGGGTGAAGAGAAAAGCAGTCCCAAGAAAATCCTGGTGAACAAGATCGTCACCTTATCTTACCCGAGCATCACGATTAATGTAGGCAGGACTCCTACAAATGGCTTGTGGGGTCCCTTGGGTCCGGTGGGGAGGGGGTGAAACCCTGTGAGAGGGCAGCCTAGGCCTGCTTAGGAGAGCATCCCCTCCTTCCTTTGCCTCTTCTGGTGTTCCGGGGGAGGGGGATGTTCGTCTGAAAGGGCTTCATCCTCTTGTACCACCCACTAGAGGCTTTATGGATGGATACTTGAGCAGGTGCCATGGACAATGGGAGAGCCCCCTCTTGTGCCACTCCTGCTGTTGGCCTTCCCCATGGGTCAACATAGGGAAAGTGAACCCAGATGGGAGGGTCTCTGGTCGGGGGAGAGCCTTGTCTGAAGGTTAGTTCAGACTTGATTTGCCAGTTTTTGGCTGTGAATCCTTGGACAAGCCCTTGGGCCTCTGTTTCTTGAGCTGTCAGAGAGGGAATTAGATTAGATGGCCTCTGAGGACCCCTCCTGCTCTGACATTCTGTGGTCTTCCAAGTGGGAAGATTTGAAGGGCTCCCTTCCTTCCCATGCTTTCTCCCCAAGGCCAACCAACCTCCTAGACCCTGTCAAGTAAGCCCATGGAGTCCCCTCCAGTGGGGAAACACGAAGGTTTGGGCTTTTATGGCATCTTAGCAAAGAAGCAATATGTTTTTACAGAAGTGACAAGAGAAAGGGAAAGGACCAAGAGTCTCGAGGGGTGGCAAACTGTGGGAAGGCAAATACATGGGAAACTCATGGTAGATAAAGCTTACTTAAGCAGTTTCCTGTGGTGTAGATTCCTCTTGTGCCCACTTCAGCCTCAGGCCCATAAGGGTCTAAAGTCATCTCTGTTGATCAGCCTTTGCCCTTCCTGGTAGAGAGGGGAGGGGGGACACCTTTGCAAATTTATGTCCTGCTTTTAGGCAAATAAGGAGAAACCAGAGAGCTTTTCTTGCATCTGCTTCTTCTCAATTGTCTTCGGCTCAAAGTAATTCTTATGCCAAAGTGGTATATTTGGGAGTGGCATATTCTGCCACCCTACAGAACAGTGCCCTTTATAAATGTCTGGTGAGCTGGGGAATAACGAATAATTCTCCTTTCCCTCCTGGTCTGTTTAGGTTCTAGGAGCAGCCATTGTGAACCAGCCACTCTCCATACAGGTGATATTTGCAAACCCCCTCTCAGAACAGGTTGAGGGTTGTGTGCTGACTGTGGAAGGAAGTGGCCTCTTCAAGAAACAGCAGAAAATCCTGTGAGTGCTGCAAGTGCTCAACCTTCTCTTCTGTTTCCCTCCCCCGCTCCGAGATTAGCTCTATCCTTATCCTTGGACACCGGCTCCTAGGCCAGGTCTACAACACTGGGGAAGGGAAAGTAGAAGCACTCCCTTCCACTCAGGAAGTTGGGTGGAAAAAGGCTCCAGGGTCATCATCATGCCTATGGTTTTCTGACATACTCCATTCTCTGTTGCAGCCTTGGAGTTCTCAAACCTCAACACCGAGCAAGTGTCATTCTGGAGACTGTCCCCTTCAAGAGTGGCCAAAGGCAGATCCAAGCTAATATGAGGAGCAACAAGTTTAAGGATATCAAGGGGTACAGGAACGTATATGTAAACTTTGCGTTATAAATTCCGGAACAATGTGCTGGATGTGTGAAGTTCAAGCTTCAGGAAAAGGAGCAAGTTCAAATGCAAACTGTACCATTCCCTACCACAACAGAGACTTCACAGGGCTCCAGTGAGAGCAGCAGAGGGGGACACCATGAATGGACATTTTCTTAGACCATTTGCACAGCTATCCTGGACTCTGTTCAGGGCCCAGGGATTCCACCTTGTCCCATCCAGAGAGTCCAGGGATTTCACGGTCTCCTATCCAGAAGTGTGTTTTGGCACAGAGGTCAAATGATACTGGTAGGACTTGGCCATGACTTACTGCCTGCTAGATATCCAGGAAAGAAAAAGACAGGCTGAACAGCTGACTGTCCTTTTGTTGTTGCAATAGCTAATTCCCTAATATGAACAAACTTCAGACCTTGCTCTCCTTTGCCCCATGTAATCACTTTCCTGTTCCCTGGATGCTGGAGCATGCTATTCATTCATTCAAAAAATATTGAGTGCCTAGCACATGTCAGAAATGGTTCTGAGTGGAGGGGCAAAAAGTAAACAAAGTAAAGTCCCTGCCCTCATGGAGCTTACATTTCTAGTGGAGGCAGGGGAGGTAGACAACACGTCAACAACTAAGTGAGTTACTCACAGGTGGTGTATCAGTCAGGATCCAGCCAGAAAAACAAAAACCTCACAGGTGTTTCTACATACTACCTACCATCTTTTGTCTTTGGGGGAAAAAAAAAAAAAAAAGCCTGGGAGACCTTTCACCCTTGGCCTTCCTTTGAATCCTTTCCCACATCACATCCAAGAGGTCCATCAGTCCTAACAGTACCAGCCTATTCACTCAAAGCCCACCGACACACTGCGGTCCTGGATGGCCTTGTGTTGGCTGGGGAGATAAAGCCGGCTGAATGACACAATGACACCCACAATTTGGGTGGGGGATGGAAGAGTCTCAAGAATTTTCTATTAGTTGCAGCCAGCCTGTGTTTATGGTCATGCAAACTCCACTCTTTCTGGCTCCTACTGAACACAAAACAATTCTTATCATTGTCTCCTCTGAGACGCCCCTGCTTTCTTGTGGCACCGCACAAAGTTCTGCACAAAGAAAGGCATGATGCACTTGCTCTCTCGGTACTGGCTACGTGACAGAGACAGCTGTCCTATTAAATACACACACAATAAATAAAGAAGATAAAGATTTCCAGTATGTATAAACCAAAGGGTATGTGTAGTTAATCAGAGGGATAGAACGGCATGTGGTGGGAATTAGGGAAATAGTCCTGTGAGACAGTGGGCTGAGAACGAGGAGCTAGTGGCAGGGAGCTGGAAGTATCTTAAAATTATTTCATTTTATAATTATTACCTGACAATCATGAGAGATAGTTTAAGGAAAACACCATAGAGAGAAACATCTTAGACACAATGACCTCTGAAGCACATGGAAGATTTCAGGTCCTGCAACCCAGGACTCTTTAATGAGTCCGGTTGTTAACACCACATTCATTAATTCTTTCATTCAACAAAGATTTACTGAGCTTCTACTAAGGGATCAGGCCCTGAGCCAGGTCGGCCCTGAGGACACAAGAAGGACCAGGGTCTGCACTCAAGGAGCTCAAGTCGAAGCAGTAAACCCAGGGTGTTGTGGGAACACAAGGAGGGTCAACTAGTCCAGCCTTGGGATTTGGGTTCAAGGAAGGCTTTCTGGAAGAAGTGGTATTTAAGTGGAATCCTAAAAGCTAGTGGTTGGTCAAAGACTAGGAGTTGGAAGGAGAGGGGGTGGAGTAAAGAAGCCAGGAGCTGCAAGTCATTCAGATGGCCAGAGGTCAGAGTGGGAGGGAGCAAGGAGCAGGAAAGAAATGAGGCAGGAGCCAGTGGGTGAGGAGCTTCAGGCATCTGCCTTCTCTAAGTCTTGGATCACAGTCACTTCCTGCAGTGTCAGTGCTGAGAGTTGATCCTACTTTGCAGAGCTGAGCAGACTTCATGTGATTTAAGAAGCACTTAAAGGACAAATAGTTCTCCACCCCTGTCTGCCGTAGGAGCTTGCAATTCCCATCAGTTACTTCTTTGAGTGCAAAGGCTTTCCTTAAATGCAAAGGTTGTGTTTCATCCATTCATTTAACAGTTTTTGAGTTGCTAATATGCTGAATGTTCTAAGTGTAGCAAAAAGACCCATAAACAGGGCAAACAAGGTTGTCCCCAACCCATTTCCAATGGACAACCTCATAATCCCTCATCCCTCAACCCCAGTGGAACTCAGTATAATTTTCTTCTGACAACACTCAGCTCAACTGCAGGCCAAAAAGGGTTTTTGGAGGAATTTATTTTCCCTTATTGTGTGTAGCCTTGGTGGATCTGCCAGCAAAGAAGCGTTGCTCGCCCATAGCCAAGAAGTGGGCATGTGACTTATACTGGAACAATCAGACACTTCTCCCAGGACTTTGACTGCAGAGTAAAGTGGGTTAGAGAAGGGAGAAACGTGGAGTCCATCCATCTTGGCAGCAGAGACTCTGAGACAGACCAAGCTCTGTTCCTGCTGCCTAGACCTTCGAGCTGCCCTGGAGTCCATCCTTCTCCTAGTCCTGAGTCTGGTTCTCCTATTCCCCATCAACCTAGGAGCTCCCTCACACTCTTGGTTTTTTTGTCAACCAAAACTCACTTTGTCTTTGCTTGCATTCAAAGAACTTTAATTCAGAGAAATTGGGTAATTTGTTTAAAACCACACAGCAAAGTCTGTCTGATTCCAAATTCCCGTCATGTCACACTGCCCAGTACTCTCAGAGATCTGTCCTCAGTTCATCTTTAGGTATCTTTGTTAGTGTCATAAGTTAGCCTGAAGTTCAAGGAAGTGTCAGAAGCTCTTACTGACCTCAGCTTGGTAATAACTGAAGAGGTGGGAGCTGGCTGTGTGGAAAGGGCAAGCAGCAGCAAGAGCTACACTTTGTTTCCCAGAGCCTGCTCCTCCTGGCCCTCCAAGACCCACTGTCCAGTTTTTCTTCCTCACCACCTGCCCACTGGCCAGCAGCCAACCAACCAATGTGCAGCTGGTACTACCTCTCTCTACCTGTTCCTGAGACCTGACTTTCCAGTATCCAGGAATGACTTGGTGCCAGTTTTGGGGCTGTTGCTTTTTGAGGCGTATAGACAAAAATAATTTGAGTGCAGAGTGCTGATCTCAGACATATCCAGCTTTCCTCCATCCCTAGAGGATGGACTTGGCTTCAGACTCCCCGAGAGACTGAAGCTTCCAGTGGGGAGGCAGACCACGTGCCTGGCATAGCAAATGTTAGCAGAAGGTCTGAGCTGGGATGCTGAATGAATCTGTTGGAATGCGAGAAAGAACACTGTGATCATACATACTGTCAGGCTCTGGATAACACTAATATCCTCCACAGAATTTTCTTTCTGGTAGGAAGTTAGGATAGGGACAGAGAGCCATTATGGAGATTGATTTAAAACTGGGCTTCAGCCTTTTATAAGGATTAGTCTATTTCCTGCTTATCTCAACTCCTGGGGCATAGCCCTTCTGTAGTCTCATTGGAAAGCCTGGGGTGTTTATTGCGGCCACTCATCCTTGATGACCCTCGAACTCAAACCCTGCAAGACTGACAGATTCTCAGGCTCTCATCTGCCAGTTACGAATGGGCAAATGATGCAGATGAAAGAGTGGGAGCCAGTATCAAGTTCGCGTTCTCTGCTTATCCCCAAGATCTTGATCCCTCAAGATGAGGGATTAGTGAGGACTGCCTTGATGCCTTCAAACAGATATTTAAAACATTTCATTCAACTATACTAATTGTTCCCAACAGAGAGGATGGTAACAAACTAGTCTGCTGTATTTAGATACAGAAATTCTTGAGAGATTGTAACAGAAGGTTTAATAGAGAGACCTTCTCAGCGGTGGTTTGGATTAAGGCTAATGTGAAATCAAATGTGTGGAGTTTGAGTTGGAAGACCTCAGTTTGACTCTATGCTTTACCATAAGCTGTGAGATATTGGAAAAGCCTCCCTCCTGGAGCTTAGAGGTAAGTTTCTAGTGTATGGAAAGCATGTGCATAGGTAGGCTATATTGTGTACTTTTAGCCTCCTCCTTGGCTCTGTTTGGGTTCCATCTCTATTCTTTCAACATTTGAATCATTTTAATGTGCTCCTCTGCAATACCATGTTTCATTGTTAGTCTTAAATTCTTTCTGGAAAGAGACAGTATATTAATTGATCTTACATTCAGTAAAAGAAATGTTAACTCTTTGAACCTTTTTTCTCATCAGTAAAATTGGAATAATGATCCCTTAATGTAGTTTACAAGATTGAGGTTCAGCTCATACAAGATAATGTATGCAAAAGTGTTTTGTAAAGCAGTGTGCCAGCATAATTAACTTATTTGAACCTGGGAGTCATGTTGACTATCTCTTCTTCTCTGTATTCCATATCCTGTCCATTAGCATGTCATATTCACTTAACCTCCTACATCTCCGTCAAATCTGTTCATGTCTTTTTTTTTTTTTTTTTGAGGTGGAGTCTCTCTCTGTAACCCAGGCTGGAGTGCAATGGGGTGATTTCAGCTCACTGCAATCTCTGTCTCCTAGCTTCAAGCGATTCTCCTGCCTCAGCCTCCCAAGTAGCTGGGATTACAGGTACGGGTCACCACACCCAGCTAATTTTTGTTATTTTTAGTAGAGACGGGGTTTTGCCATGTTGGCCAGGCTGTTCTCAAACTCTTGACTTCAGGAGATCAGCCTGTCTTGGCCTCCTAAAATCCTGAGATTATAGGCGTGAGCCACTATGCCTGGCCTATGTCTATCTTTACTAACCACCTCCAGAGTAGACCCCCATCATGTTTCACCTAAGCCATTACCATAGTCTTTTATCGGTCATCTGTCTTCCCTTTTTGCCCCCTCTAAATCATTTCCCTGATATTAGCCAGTATTTTAAAAACGCAAATCTGATTGTTTTACTCCCTTGCTTCAAATATCATTCAATGGCTTCCCACTGCTCTGAGGATAAAATCCAAAATTCTCAACTGAATTCTGCAAGATTTAGCCTTTGCTTTACCTCTTCCCATCTCTCTCTGTGATGCAGGCCCACTGACCTTTCAGTTGCTTCCTGCTTTAGAGCCTGTGCACATGCTGTGCTCTCTCCTCTCATGCCAACCCATGTCCTATTACTTAGTTTTACTCCTATTTATCCTGCTAGTTTCTCAGCCTTAAATATTACCTTCTAAGAGAAGTCTACCCTGACCTTCCACACCTAGGTCTGAGAGCACTCAAACATCTCTTTCACAGCATGTAGCACACTTGGCAGAGAAACAGCTAATGGTGCATGCACTTAGTACTGTCTGTCTCCCCCTACTGGAATAGAAGCTCCTTGGTGCCAGGGATACATCTATCTAATTTACTGCTGTATTACCAGTACCTAACACGGTTCCTCACTGTTCCTCACAGTACCTAACACAGTTCCTAACAGTACCTACCAGTACCTAACACAGTTTCTTTTATTTATTTATTTTTTTGCCTCAACAAAGAATTCTTTATTATGTCCAAAAGGGCACAACGAAAACATCCCCAACAATACATAAACCTTTATATAAAATATAGAATATCTCCAATATTTTTACTTTATATGGGAGCATGCCAATATATGCAAGAGAACATATTGATGGGGCAAGGGGAAAACTATTTGGGGAATGACTTAGGCATTAACATTCAGACCAGGTAAAGAGCAATTTTAGTCAGAAAAGCAATGTGAGAAGAGTTCCTGTGAAGTGAGATTTACATACTTCATTTTCCATTCCTGGTCATTTCATCCACAGCTTGACTGTTGTCAGTCATGGTTCTTTGCCTTTGGAGTGGTACTATAAAGGTACAGAGAATGCCCATCTCAGTACCAGAATTTCACCAGGAAAAATCAGAATAGAAATGACGACGCTTAAAAAAAAAGGAAGGCTGGATTTCAGAAGTATTTACCCTAATTATTTTTAAGAAAGCTTACCATAAATACTTCCAAAAACAACAGACTTTACAAAATAGTATACAACGTCTTGTGCATAGCAGTAATTATCTACTCAGGCCATTTGTCAGACTGTTTTAGTAATTAGTTTCTTGTGTAAACTTTCATCTCAAGAAGGCCAATAATCTGATTTCCTCTCTAGCTAATGATCTGTTGTTAGCCTACTTTTAACAATGGAAGAAGAAACTGGTATATGTTTTAAGTCAACCAGTTTTCCTAAGTCTCATAGTTTGTTTCGACATCATGTTATTGTGTACTTACATAAGTAATCTCTCAGTTATGAAAAATAAAATCAGTTTCTGGGCTCGGAAAGAAAAAGGGAAATTCTTTCCCAATCTCCCCCTCCCTCGCCGCCCGGCTTTTTTTGTTAAAAAAAAAAAAATTAAACTTAAATGTACAAGACCAAACACGGGCACTTTTCAAAAAAACAAAAATGAAGCCAAATCACAAAATTACTCAATAGTTATAGAATACAGCTCTGATTTTGGGGTGGGGGGGAGGTCATCTCTAGTTCAGGCACTTCTTCCTTTTTCTGCCAGCCCACCAAGAGACCCCAAGGGAAAGGTGCTTTCACAATTCTGGGTCGAGGAGACCTGTGAAATCACAGGCATTTCAACAGAGGAGTTGTTTTCGAAACTGTGTTCTCCAAGATCATACTGAACAAAGGTCTCTTTTCGTTCCTGGTTAAAGTAGTCCGGCACTAGGAAATCACTTCATGCTTTAGGCGATGCACCTTTAGCGGGTAAGCCCTTGTGAACTTTTTCCCACAGCGGTCACACTGAAATGGTTTAATTCCTGAGTGGATCGGCATGTGCTGCTTTAGGTTCTGAATACGGGTGAATCGCACCCGGCAGGCTGGACATTGAAAAGGTCTGTCTGGACCATTTGGACTTGGTCGTTCCGTACTGCAGGTAGCAAGAGCAATGCAGAGCTGGTAGGGATACTCAATATTTTCCCGTCGATCATTATCACCCGCAGAAGCATTACTACTAGACGTGCTTTGAAGTGTAGGCAACCCCTCAGGAACGCCTTATCTACTGAGCCTGCGGCGGCGGCCAGGGGCTCCTCCTTCTCCCGCCAGACTGGGGCGGTGGCGGCCCGGGGGGAGGGGGCGGAGCACGCGGCTCTCGGCTTTTCTTCCCTGGGAGGCTCAGGGGCTCCCACCTCCGGCCGCAGCGTCTAGGCTTGTGGCTGGGGCCAGGCAGCAGAGCCCACCTGCGTGCCTGCGAGATGGGAGTGCGAGGCGGCGGGGAGGGAAGCACCCCTGGCGCTCAGAGAGGCCTGAGGGGAGGAGCGAGGGGGCCCCGAAGCCGAGGTGGGAGTGCGAGGCGCCCTGAGAGGCCTGAGGGGAGGAGCGGGGGGGCCCCGAAGCCGAGGTGGGAGTGCGACGCGCTCTGAGAGGCCTGAGGGGAGGAGCGGGGGGGCCCCGAAGCCGAGGTGGGAGTGCGAGGCGCCCTGAGAGGCCTGAGGGGAGGAGCGGGGGGGCCCCGAAGCCGAGGTGGGAGTGCGAGGCGCCCTGAGAGGCCTGAGGGGAGGAGCGGGGGGCCCCCGAAGCCGAGGTGGGAGTGCGAGGCGCCCTGAGAGGCCTGAGGGGAGGAGCGAGGGGGCCCCGAAGCCGAGGTGGGAGTGCGAGGCGCCCTGAGAGGCCTGAGGGGAGGAGCGGGGGGGCCCCGAAGCCGAGGTGGGAGTGCGACGCGCCCTGAGAGGCCTGAGGGGAGGAGCGGGGGGGCCCCGAAGCCGAGGTGGGAGTGCGACGCGCCCTGAGAGGCCTGAGGGCAGGAGCGGGGGGGCCCCCGAAGCCGCGTGCGGGCAGCGCTTGCGGACGATTGGCCTAGGGCAGGCGGTGGTTTGGGAGCGCCGCGACTGCTCCCGAGTACCCGGTGGGGCAGATTGAGGAAGGGAACGGGGACTCAGGGGAGGTTGGGAGCCGCCGCCGTTGCTGCTCCGCTCACTCCAGTCTTTTTAGGGGCACTATGTCTACCTCACAGTTTCTATCAGTACCTGCCGGTACCTAGCGCAGTTCCTGGTGCATGACAGTGCTCATTAAGTATTTGTTTCGGAAATGAATAAACGGATACTTCTTGAGTCTACACCAGCTGAGGGGTTGTTTTTCTGCCGGAGGCTGGGGAGTAGAAAGGTGTTTGTGCCGTGGGACAGACCTTTCTGGTGCCCCCCCCCATCCTCCACATCTCCCACTCGTTTTCCCCAGCTCAACCAAAACGCAGCAGCGTGTGTCTCATCTTGGGCTCCTCAAAAAGTGCCCCGACTGAAATACTGCCAGAGACTGGGTCTCTGTGACGCTCTCCTGGGAACTGTACCAGGAAAGAGAAGATTCTCCTTGCTTGTACCAAAAGGAAAACCCATTCCCCAAAGGGAAGCCAGCCCTCAACCTCCCCATTGCCCTCCCAGACAGGGGGCTGTGGTGAAAAAAGTTCAGCCAGACTTTTCTTTCCCCTGAACGTTTTTGTTACTTTAAAAATATTAGCACATAAATAGATATTCATGGTACAAAGATACGAAGGGCATATAGAAAAAAGCCTAGGCACCGAGTTTCTCTATCTAGAAGTAATTTTCCAGAAATAGTCCATATAAACAAGCAAATTCGTATATATTCTCCCCACACACATACCCTTCACACGAAGATAGCATACTATTCACAGTTTTTTTCTACCTCACTTATTTCATTTATCAGTACAGCTTGGGCTGCGCGTGATGGCTCATGCCTGTAATCCCAACACTTTGAGAGGCCAAGGCTGGAGGATCACTTGAGCTCCGGAGTTAAGACCAGCCTGGGAAACATAGTGGGACCCCCACCTCTACAAAAGATAAAAAATTAGCCAGGTGTACTGGCCTATGCCTGTAGTCCTAGCTACTTTGGAGGCTGAGGTGGCAGGATCACTTGAGCCCAGAAGGTTGAGGCTGCAGTGAGCCATGATTGCACCACTGCACTCTAGCCTGGGTGACAGAGTGAGACCTTGTCTCAAAACAAATGAACAAACAAATCAAGCTTGGAGATTGTTCCACCTCCTTTATAGAGCTACTTCATTGTTTTTCACCTTTATGTATTTTATTGAATGCATGTCCCATAATTTACCTAATAACCTTATGCATGAATGTTTAGGTAGTTTTCAGTTGTTGGGGTTCAGGGGAGCCCTCAGCTTCCCTGAGAGGACATTTCTCTAGGTTCTTGGTCTGCTGCTCCCCAAGAATGGGAGAAGAGACCACGCATAAAAGTAAATGCCGGACTCAAAAGCGTCTGTAGAAAGTGACTTATTTAGGTAAAGAAAGAGAAAAAGGAGAAGAGAGAAAACTTCCATGAAGAGGAAGCGGGACCCCAGAGGGGAAGATTCAGGAAGAGAAAGACAGGTGCCACTACGTTGCTGGGGATTCCAGAGAGCTGGAAATCCGGTGTGGCTGAAGGAGGAGGGGAATTTATCCTGGGAGAAATTCCCACCTCCCCAAGTTCCTCTGGCCAATGAAAGGAGTGCCTTTAAACTTCCGCTAGGGTGATTGACTCTTAGTTTCTTCCCGCGCGCGGGAAATTTAAACATAAACCGTTAAATCTCCCGGATGGAGAGAGATGGGAGGGGCGCATGGAGCTGGGAAGTTCTTGCCCTTAAAACTACGCCCCCTTGTGGACCTGGAAAGAGAACAAATTTCCTCACAGTCTTTTGCGGTTATAAATATCAATGCACTGAATATACTTATATACATTTTATTTTACAACTGTTGGATAAATATCTACAAGTAGAATGACTGAATCTAATTATAGACTTTTTCTTTAAGTGAGAGCAGCTTTATTAAGAAAGTAAAGGAATGAAAAGAATGGCTAATCCATAGATAGAGCAGCCAAAAGTACAGACATTTAAAGTGTTAGTAGAAACTACTTAATTTCCCTCTGTTCTGGACTGAGTTTTGTCCTCCCCAAAAATTAATATGTTGAAGCCTTAACCGCCAATGTGACTGTATTTGGAGATGGGACCTATAAGAAGGTAATAAAGGTGAAGTGGGGTCATGAGAATGGACTTCAATCCAACAGAAATAATGTCCTTGTAAGAAGAGAAGACACCTGAGATCTTTCTCTTTCCCTGCAGACACACAGAAGAGGCCGTGAGAGGATTCACCTGCAAGCCAGGAAGAGCGCCTTTACCAGACACCAAGCCTAAAGGCCCTGATCTTGAGCTTCTATCCTGCATAAGGGTGAGAACATAAATATCTGTTGCTTAAGCCACCCAGTCTAACACTCTCCATAGAGGCTGCACCAATTTGAAGACACTGTATCATTTTTTTAAATTTATTTATATTTTTTTGAGACAAAGTCTTGCTCTGCTGTCCAGGCTGGAATGCAGTGGCACGATCTCAGCTTGCTGCCACCTCCACCCACCAGGTTCAAGCAATTCCCATGGCTCTGCCTCCCAAGTAGCTGAGATTACAGGTGCCCACCACCACATCTGGCTAATTATTGTATTTTTAGTCGAGATGGGGTTTCACCATGTTGGCCTGCCTGGTCTCAAACTTCTGACCTCAAGTGATTCACCAGCCTCCCAAAGTGCTGGGATTACAGGCATGAGCTACGGTGCCCAGCTGAGGCTGTATCAATTTAAATTTGCACTCCCACTAGTATTATAAGAGAGTAACTGTTTTCCTAAATCATCACCAACTCAAAATGTTGTCAAACTCTTTTATCTTTGCCAATCTAATAGGTGAAGAAAGAAGGATATCTCAGGGTGTTTTTATTTTGCGTTTTTATTAAGTGAGGCTGGACATCTCTCCATGGATTGTGTTTTTCAGCTCCATCAATTCACTTACTTTCCTCTCTAAATTGTGTATTCTTGTTAATATTTCGTCAAACCTTTTTTCAAAGTTCTTAGTTTCTTTGGATTGGGTTAGAACAAGTTCTTTTAATTCACAGAAGTTTCTTATCATCCACATTTTGAAGCCTGCTTCTGTAATTGGAACAAACTCGTTCTCCATCAAGCCTTGTTTCGTTGCTGATGAGGAACTGTGATCACCTGCTAAGGAGAGGCATTCTGATCTTGGGTATTCGCAGCCTTCTTTGGCTGTTTTCTTCCCTTCACTGTAGATTTCTCCATCTGTGGTCTTTATAATTACCGTCTTTGTAGTTGGATTTCTGAGTGGACATCCAACTTATTGATTCTCAGCGCCGAAATCTGAACCACCCACTGCGCCAACTAAATCAGCGGCGTTAAGACTGATGGTGCTTTTCTGACTCTGCACCAAGAACCAACGCTCCGAGGCGCCGGCAAAACCACCACACTGGTCACAAGAGTCGCGCTGACGACCCGTGGGGCTCCTCCGCTGGGAATCTCCTGGTGCGTGAGCAAGAAGAATTCATGTGCAGGTGTGGTGTCCTCTCGTTCTTTGCGCTTTCACTGGGAGCTACAATCCCGAGCTGCTAGTGATCAGCCATCTTGGATGTCTCTCCAACTTCTTCATTTCTTATGAAGAATCTTTCTTGGGAGAGAGTGGAAGGCAGAAGTTTCTTTTTTTTTTTTTTTACATAATAAGATCCTTCAAATGAGTTCAAAAGTTCAAAGTTTAAAAAGTGTAAAAGAGTAAACAGCAGAAAGATAACCTTTCTACCCCACTGCCTAGATCCCCTCCCCACAGGCAACCAATATTTTTTCCAGTATGTTTTATATCATTCTATAGACATTTCATATACATGCAGGCAAGTACAGCTTCTATGAGTGCTTCTGGTAACACAGTTTCAGAAGCCCAGGTAAGGCCAAATATGAGATCCTTGTCTTGTCTCTTCAGGAAATAAAGAAGGAAAAATTGAAAAGATGTAGGGCCTGAGTCCCAAGATAGTTCCAAACCTTCTCTGGTAGAGTGTCCCAGACCAGGTAGGCTTGGAAGAGTTGGGGCCCCAGCTTCTACTTTTAAGATACTTATTTTTCACCAACAAATTCTACTTCCTTATCTCTTTCACACAGATAAATTCCAGACACACATGTTCTCTCTATTATCAAAATAGCCCATGAACATCTAGCAACTTGCAGCCCCTGACATATTTAGAGCCTGAGATTTGGAGTTGGATATGGGCCTCCTGTTTGTGGTATCCTCTCTTCCAGAATCTTCCAGTGCAGTCCAGATGACATCTCTGAGAGTCTCTTGAAGCCACTGAAGCAATAGGTTTCAAGGTTTCCTCTAGGCTTCTCCAGTTGGCAGGTCTTCCCCATCCCACCCTCCTCCTCCAGGGCTGCCAGGCATATCCCTGCCTGGGCCTCCTGGCACAAAAGATAAAATGAACAGGGTTACTCCCAGCAACTGGTTCAGGAGATACCAGCAGGGAGGGAGTAGGAGAGAAGAAACTTGTCAGTGTGTCACAGGAGTAGTGGAAGGAAGTTTTGCTGTTTCCAGCTTCTTAAGCCAGCAAAAGTGCATTCATTATTTTCTGTCTGGAAGAGAGAAGGCACAGAAGGAGCCCAGAAGCAACAGTTCAAGACAGGTGCTTCCGGCGGCCAAGTGGATAAGAGAAGCAGCCTGAAGCCATGGGACAGGGTGAGCCAGGCCAGCACTCCACAGGGCTTTCTGGACTGTCTGCAGCCCCCACAGCATTATCTGTTTTCATTAAAGGAAGTAGGATGGATGGTGGGGAGAAAGATGGGGGTATAACCATGGGGGTGGGTGGGGGTACTGGTGATAGTGAGGTGGCTGTGGAGGGGGTGTGGTAGGTGGGTGTTGGTGAAGGTGATAGTGAGCTAGTTGTGGAGTGGTGTGATAATGGGTGCTAGTGGAGGCAGAGGTGATGGCGAGGTGGCTGTGGAGTATGGTATGGTAATGGGTGCTGGTGGAGATGACGGTGGGGTGGTTGTGGAGGGGAGTGTGGTAATGGGTTCTGGTGGAGGTGGAGGTGATGATGATGTTGCTATGGGGTGGTTATGGGGTAGGATGTTGGGGTAAACTGGTCATGATAGTTGTATGATGATGGTGAGATGGTGATGGTGGTTAATTTAACATGGGTTTATATTCTTATCCCAAGGTCATCATAGCATAAGCATTCACAGCTTACTGATACAAATGAGAGATACTATATGATACAAATGAGAGACACACTGGGAAGCATGAAGGTGCCAAAGCTTCTAGACCAAATAGGAGAGTAGGAGAGGTGGGAGTCAGGGAATCCACCTAAAAAGGGTAGAGGCAGACACAAAGCAAGAAACCAGCAAAGGTGGTCAGAGTTACAGCACTCTTGGCAGGAATTATTATCTCTTGGCCTGGGAACTGCCTGGCTGTCTTGTGTCCTGAGAGAAGGAAGTGGGTAGGCAGAGGGAGATGATGTGGAGGTGTGGGGACAGTGGGATGCAGCTGTGGTTCTGTTGCTGTAGAAACTGCCTCACTTCCCTGCCCTTGTTGGCCTCTGGTGTGCAGAGGGCAACTGACCCTGAGACCAACACCTGAGGGGGGAAAAAAGAATTCTGGGTGAATTCAGTCAATCATCTCAGCCACATCTTGTGAAAATAGGACAGACACCAATATATCATTCTTTTTATTCTGTAGAGACCAGACAAATTAAAAATCTACTCAATCAGAGAAACACATTTGAAGATATCAGGAGATTGTTTAGTCTAGTCCCAAATCCCTGTGGGCGCTAAATCCTTTCCAGGCAGTGGATGACAGACAGCACAGTAGCCACCAGATGACAATCAGTGAGTATGAGCTCATGATGTGCTGTGGTGGCTGGAGCTGGCTTGTGCTAGTTTGCAAGAGCATATTGCTAAAATTTGAGGCATCTTGTGAACCAGTTCTTAAACACAGGCATTATTAAAAATTAAATTATATAAACTTACAAATAAAAAGCTATATTAAAAAGAAAGTTAATAAGCACTCTAAACTTGTCACCTCCTACGTAATTTACCTCTTTTTACCTTTATGTTCTTGAGGGTGTTTATGTCCCCTGTATCTCTGTCGTAGAAAAACTACATAATTATGTCCCACTCTGTGTTTCCTCATAGCTCTGTGTTCGCTAACATCACCTCAGTAGCTTCTAACTGGCCACAGGGGGAGTATTTTACACCACAGAACTCTGGCAAATGCTGTAACTCTGTACTGTCCCCTCACCACCCCTCCTCCCTCCAGCCAGTTGTCAAACACAAAACTGCTTAAGGGGCACATTTGAGGCAACGCTGGGGCATTGTGAAAGGCAGAGATTGAGGAGGGTGCGGTACTGTGCACCTCTGAAGAGCATTTCACGTGGTCTCTGTGTTAACACAACTTCTCATGGGCTGTGGTACAAATAGGAGATGCTGGGAAAACATGAAGGTATCATTGCCTCAGGACCCAGTGGGAGAGAAGTAGGAGTTAATGAATCCACCTAAAAGGGGCAGAGGCAGAGATAAACTAAGAAACTAGGCAGACCTAGAGAATGCAGAAACCTCAGAGGCCCTGTGAGGGTCTGGTGGCACAGGTCGGGGCCTGAGGCCCCTGTGATACATTTGAGAAAATCTCCTTTAAGGCTGTCTCAATGTTTTCATCCATTCATTGACAGAGTAAACGCTGATTGGCTATCTATTGAGTTCTGCTGGGGCAGGTGATGCAGATATTAGAAAGCACTGTACCTCCGGGAGTTCACAGTGAAAGAGGGAGCAGAGGGCTAGGCAGGTGATGGGTATCAAATGGGTTAAGTGCTGAAGAAAGAGGACTGACCTCTGCCAGCAGGAGTCAGTGAAGGCTACAGAGGTGGGTGCCTTTGGATCTTGGAAGATGAGTAGACATCTGCCAGGTAGAGAAGAGATGGCGGAGGCTTCCAGACAGAACCAGAATCCAGATGAATTCTAGTAACATTTGCTGTAACACTGTGGTCATTACATGGGTTCAGATACGCTGAGGCTCAAGTCATATGACTTAGAATGTGACGAGGGCATTGGACCATCCAATCCGACTCAACCAGTCGGCAGCAGCAGGCTCATCCTGGGCCCCAGCACAAGCTTTGTGCTAAGCAGAAAGATAAATCATTGTTGGTTTCTGAGTGCTGCTGTGCTTCAATTTGCAAATCCCTGCCTCCCTGTGGCTACTTTATCTATAGCCATGGGCTATAGTAGAGGAGGGGGATACAAGGATGCAAGGGGCACCCAAGGACATCAGGATGAGAGACAGAAGTTTCTTCCCTCCTCTGCACACTTTCCTATTTCTTCATATTCAACCACTTCTGTTCTTTTGTCCTAAATAGATATCATTGGCATCTTCTATCATCCCCAACACTAGTGAAAGAAAAAGCAGAACATCCTTCCCCTCTTCTCTTCAGCTATAAGCCAGAGGGACTGGGGACTGAGGGAAATTTGAAGTAGGAGTATCCTGAATTTGACAAGATATGTCTTGTAGTCTAATGGACATTGCCATCAGGGTCATATCACTTCTCTGAAGTGGGTTAGACTTCATTTCATACCTGCAAGCAAAAGCTATAGCTTCTCTCTTAGGGCAGCTGAGCCAGTGCAAAAACCGCAGGCTGCCTTTCAGACCAAGGAGATTCCCAATGGCCTTCTGCCATCAAAGGAACAAAAGTACACAATTCCTTTCCTTTGCTGGAAAAAAAAAAAAATCCTAAACCTCTTTTTCCAGCATTGTTCTTTATCTTTTGACTTCTCTACTCCTGTTGTTTTCTCCCTCTTAAGTTAATCTGTTCTCACACTGTTATAAAGACATAACTGAGACAGGGCAGTTTATAAAGAAAAGTGGTTTAACCAGCTCATGGTTCTGTGGGCTGTACAAACTTCTGCTCCTGGGGAAGCCTCAGGAAACTTATAATTATGGCAGAAGGTGAAGGGGAAGCAAGCACATTTTCACATGGCTGATGGGAGACAGAGAGAGAGAATGAAGGGGGAGGTGGTACACACTTTTAAACAAGCAGCACTAGGGGGATGGTGCTAAACCATTAGGAACCACCCCCATGATCCAATCACCTCCTACCAGGCCCCTCCTTAACACTGGGGATTACAATTCAACCTGGTATTTGGGCCTGGACACAAACCCAAACCATATCACCTCTATTAAATGAGAATTGAAACAAACTCATAAAACTCTTGAGCCACCTCCTTGAAGGGTTTTTCTGGGCTGCATAGTGCTGTGAGTTTATGATAAGACTAGGTCAAAGAGCCATCATGCACAATCTCAGGTGAGTCAGTTCCATACTCAGCCTAACTCTTCTCATCTATAAAACAAGAGAATTGGACTCAGTGATCTCAAAACCAGCTCTAAAAATAATCTGGTTGTGCTCTAAGAAAAAATGAATAGGGGTGAGAAAGATTGTGGGTTTTATTCATTGCTTGTGGACTGGGACCAGAAAAAGGAGGTCAACAATGAGAATAAGCATTGTTCTTATTAATAACAATATTAACTGTTTCATTTAATGGGGCTTACTATGTATCTGACACTGTGCTAAATGTATTATACATCATCAAATCCCCACCACTCTGGAAGGAGGGATGATTTTTCTAAGGAAAATGAAACCGAGACTCAGGGTGGTTAAGTTACTTGCCTGGGATTGCACTAAAAAGTAAGTGGAGCCTAGGATTTGAACCCTGGTCTCTCTGACTCCAGAATCTCTGCTTGTACTTACGCTGTCACGTTTACCTAGTTTCCATGACTTCTGTCTTTCCCATAACAGCCCTGGGTATCAAGAGCTGCGACTTTCAGGTAGCAAGAAACAATGAGGAGCACCACACCAAGGCCCTCAGCTCCCGGCGCCTCTTTGTGAGAAGGGGGCAGCCCTTCACCATCATCCTGCACTTCCGCGCTCCAGTCCACGCATTTCTGCCTGCTCTGAAGAAGGTGGCCCTCACTGCACAGACTGGTTAGTGAGACAGGCCTAGACCCCTTTGGCAGCAGCCCTGGGGATTTCTCTCCAACACCCTGTTAAGGAATCAAGGGGCAAGTGGCCCACACTGCAGCTGGGCCATAAGAAGTCCTGCCTACCTGGCAGGGCGGTCATGAGGGTGCCACAAGACGATGTGCCTGGTAAATATTATTTACGATGACTCAGAAGCTGCCCAGCAGCAGCATCACCAAGGGCTTCCTTTCGGTTGCACAGATAATAGTAGCTTTGTAGAAAATTCTGGATGGAATCAAATCCAGGCTAAATATAACATTTAATTGCTACTGTTTATTGAATCCATACTACCTGTCAGTTGTTGGGCCAAGTACTTCACATGCAGTATTTCATTCAGTCCTCACACGGGTCATGAAGCAGGTACCATTGTGATGCCCATTTTACAGACTACAAACCTTTCTAGATGTAGGTCCATGGGCACCGACAGCCTGTGTTCTCCTATCACTCTTTCTTGATGGGCCTCATTTCTGGATGGGTCGCTTTCATTGTCCTCCAAAAACAACTTTCGCCTGCTCCATCTTTGTAATACCCTGACCTTATTACTCTGAGTTGTGACCAAGAAGTCCCAATGACTGACTGATCACTGTGTGACTGCAGGAGAGCAGCCTTCCAAGATCAACAGGACCCAAGCCACATTCCTGATTTCTAGTCTGGGGGACCAAAAGTTGTGGAGTGCAGTGGTGGAGGAGAGAGATGCCCAGTCCTGGACCATCTCTGTGACCACACCTGTGGATGCTGTCATTGGCCACTACTCGCTTCTGCTGCAGTTCTCAGGCAGGAAGCCATGCCTCCTGGGCCAGTTCACGCTGCTCTTTAACCCCTGGAATAAAGGTAAATTTGGACCTTGGCCAGCATGGGCTACACAGGGACTCCAGGCACTGGAGCTGGGATGCAGTTCTGGCAGGGAGCACCTGTGCCAGGCCCTCTCTAAGGGCAGCACCAACACCTAGTCTGTGCCAGGGCCTTCTCCCTGGATGAACCAGCTCTCAGACTCAGGGTGCTGTCTTGGTGTCACCCCTGGGAGAAGCAGGTTGAGGCTTCCCACTGAAAGCAAAAGGTGTCTCACCACCAGACCCTGGTGCTGGCTCAGGCTATTTTGGTCACAGGAGTTGAGACTCACTGAGATAACGCTGGGAAAGCTGCCCTTCATTTTAGCAGTACAGGGGTGAGAACTGGAGAGGGCTTCAGGATGAAGTGGTCTGAGGATGGACTTCTCTCCCTCTCCCTGCTATTCTGTGTCCAGAGTGCTCTCAGGTTTTGCAAGGCCTAAAGCTGATGCAATCTGGGGGACCCTCTTATGAAAAAGAATATACAGTTCTGAATTGATAAGGCTACCCACCAACCAGGGCCCCAAGGGGTCTGTGTTATCTCACAAGCTTCTTCTGCTTTCCAGGATATCTTCTGTTCCTGTCTTTGCTCCTCTCTTCTGGCTCATTCTGTTCTTGCAGATTGCTGGGCACTCTCCAGACCCACCTGCCCTGTGTTGCCCAGGCTGGTCTCAAACTCCTGGCCTCAAACTATCCTCCTGTTTTTGCCTCCCAAAATGCTGGGATTGTAGGTGTGAGCCACTGGACCTGGCCAACCAAGCTTTTTAAGGTTGTTCTTGTCTGCCTGGCTCACCATAAAGGCCGCACTCTGATTGACCCAGGGACTCTGGGCTGGGTCCCAGTGGGGACAGTGTTGAAGGGGTGGCCAGCAGCCAAACCTAATCTCAGCAGGGAGGACAGAGGCCTGGATATGAAGGGTGGACCTAGCACCCCCCACAGGCCCTCAACCCTACCCCTTCTCACCAGATGATGCTGTGTTCCTGAACAATGAGGCTCAGCGCAGGGAGTACTTGTTGAACCAGAATGGTCTCATCTACCTGGGCACAGCTGACTGCATCCAGGCAGAGTCCTGGGACTTTGGCCAGGTACCAGGGCCCTCTAGGGGAGGAGTGTGTAGAGTGACTGTCCCATAACCTTGTATGTTCAGGCTAGACAGACCTGGTAGGTCCAAAAACCCCTGGTCATGAGACCATTTCTCTAGCCCATTTCAGCCTTGTGGTGCCTTCCTTTCCTTTGGACCACATCAGAACATCCTCCGGAGTTACCAGAATTATTTTCCTTAAAACTGGTAAATCAAGCCTCAGTTAAATCCCCACTGTCTTCGAGATAAAAACCAAATACCCCTAGCCTAACATCCACAGCCCTTCCAGCCAGGCCCCTGCTTTCCTTTCTCTATGAACCACGCCATGTTCTAACTCCTGACCTCCCCAGAGCAACAGGCTGAATGTTCCCTCTGCCAGGAAGGGCTTCCCACCCTTATCGCCTGGCAAGCTCCTACCCCTCTCTCAAGACCTTCTCTAAGCCCCAACCCCAAAGGCAGAGGGAGCCTCTCCACTGTGCTGCTCTGTGCTGGCATCTCTACAAGAGCCCTGGCCATGCTGCTGTGCTCTGTATCTAAGGGGCTGCATGACCATCTCCATTCCTAAACCATGGGCTCCTCAGGAGCAGGAGCTACCTCGGTATTCTCAACCCCTGGTTCAGGGTTGGCAGGAGCAGTAGGGGCTCACTAAATAGAAATGGAATGCAATGCGATGAAACAAAACCATGCAGCACTAGTCCTCAAGAGCTTACACCCTACTGGGAGTCAGACAACAGAACAGGCAAAGGACTGGATGCCTGGGAAAAGGAACCCAGGGCACATTGAGAGGTGGGAGGAGGGAGCCAGAACTCTGAGGGATGAGGCAAGGGAGGCAGGTGTGGAGCGCGGGTCTGGGAGAAAGACGAGATGATGAGGCTATCTTGTGGGATGAGTGCCTGACCTGGAGACCGTTCATCATGGCCCTGTGTGATCCTTAACAGTTTGAGGGGGATGTAATTGACCTCAGTCTGCGCTTGCTGAATGAGGACAAGCAGGTAGAGAAGTGGAGCCAACCGGTGCACGTGGCCCGTGTGTTGGGTGCCTTGGTAAGTGAGAGGCTGGGGAACCAGATGGGGTGGAGGTAAGGCAAGAGCCCTCTGACAGACCTGCCCCATCACCGTGACCCCGTAAATCACAAATGGCCCCCTCTTCCCAGGGTGTTGGGACAGTTCCTACAGAAGGGTCTGAGGAGGAGAAAAAAGGCAGGCAGTAGCATCCACAGCTGGAAGAAAAGCAAAGAAATGTGTCACACCTCAGGACACAAGCTCACAGAAGACTAAGCCCTTCTTTCCATCCCCACACCCAGCCCCAACTTGGAGCTTAGGTCCATGGGAAAGAGCAGGAAGGGCCCATCTTATCCAGTGCTTGCTGCTGTGGTGATCAAAGGGACTTCTAAATTATTTGTAAGAATATGAAGACCATGATGGTTACCAGGCACAGTGGCTCACGCCTGTAATCCCAGCAATTTGGGGGGGCCAAGGTGGGTGGATCACCTGAGGTCAGGTGACAGACCAGCCTAACCAATATGGTGAAATCCATCTCTACGAAAAATACAAAAATTAGCTGGAGGTGGTGGTGCACACCTGTAATCCCAGCTACTCGGGAGGCTGAGACAGGAGAATTGCTTGAACCCAGGAGGTGGACGTTACAGTGAGCCGAGATTGCACCACTGCACTACAGCCTGGGCAACAGAGCAAGACTCCATCTCAAAAAAAAAAAAAGGAGAATATGCAGACCATGATGGTAACTTGGTGCTTTCCCTTGTCCCTAAAAATCCTCTCAGAGGAGTCATGCATTCGCCATTCCGTCTTTGCCGCTGATGTGCCATCTGAAAAGGTGGCAAGGATCCAGGCCAGCCTGCGAGTTGAAAGAAGCTTGGGATAAATGGCCTCCAGGACCCAGGTGCAAACCACCTCAAACGAGTCAGGTTGGAGGACTAAGAACCGGTGAAACCAGCCTCTGAGGAAGGGCAGCTCTTAGGCTCCTCTTTGTTGCTGGAGCCAGAGGACTTGTTAAGAAGGAGGGTCCTGGACTTCTGCCCTAGAGTATTACCCAGGGGCCTGGGACAGAGCCCAGGAGCTGCAGGTTTAATCAGTACCAGGTAGCCCTGATGCCGGAGATTTGTTTGCCATAGTTGGAGTACTGCGGTGAGCCCTCTTTACCCATGCACTGGAAGCTGTCCTGCCAGAGGGACTCATACTGACATCCACACATTTCCCCAAACAGCTGCATGCTCTCAAGGAGAAGAGGGTCCTGCCCAACCCGCAGACCCAGGCCACCCAGGAAGGAGCCTTGCTGAATAAGCGACGGGGCAGTGTGCCCATCCTGCGGCAGTGGCTCACCGGCCGAGGCCGACCTGTGTATGAAGGCCAGGCCTGGGTGTTGGCCGCTGTTGCTTGCACAGGTTGGTCCCCTTGTCTGCCGTACAGAGTGCCCTGCCTCTTGGGTTGTTCCCTGGCCTTCCATATGGGAGGGACATTTCCAAAAGCAGGGGCAGCCTCCCTGGGGCTGCATTTCCCCATCTCATCACACAGAAGTAGTTGTCTCAGGCAGCTCCTCCCACCAGCTTCTGCTGCTTTTCCCCTCAGCAAAGTTGGGCTAATTTGCAAACTCTGCTCCCAAATTCACTTACTCTCCTAACTCTGCCCTAGCAGGGCAGCCCTGCAGTGCTGTGTTCTAGGTTCTGTTGCCCTCTCCTCTGCTATATACCCCACATGCGGTAGAACCTGTGCCTTATTGATTAGCCTTTATGCGTCTTGTTCTTGGCTGCCACTTCTGGCTGCACTCCTCCTCCCAGGTTTTCAGTGCCCAGAGGAAATGTGAATGTGCCCATACTGAAAATGCCCGCCTTCCACACACGCCCAGCTTGATCTCTTGAGTGCCCCCTGACACTCCACCCCTCTTCTTACAGTGCTTCGATGCCTGGGAATCCCTGCCCGCGTGGTGACTACCTTTGCCTCAGCGCAGGGCACCGGTGGGCGTTTGCTTGTAGATGAATACTATAATGAAGAGGGACTTCAGAATGGAGAAGGCCGGAGAGGCAGAATCTGGTGAGAAGCCCTAGAGAGATTAGGTTCCAAGCCAGGAAGGGCTGTAACCCTGCATGGCACACCTCTGCAGGAGCGCCATCCCCTGTGTGACCCTGGCATGGAGGAGAGTAGGCTTTCAAGACCCTTGGAGGCAAGCACTGATGGTCAGTGGTGGTGTACACTCCCCTTCCTGGGAGTGCCACAGCCACTGTGACACAGTGACCTCCCATCCCACTGGAACAACAACTCTGCCAGAACCTCTTCAGCACCCCTTTTCCTTCCCACTTGAATTTTTCTCTTTGCTACATTTAGGATCTTTCAGACTTCCACAGAGTGCTGGATGACACGGCCTGCCTTGCCCCAGGGTTATGATGGATGGCAGATTCTGCACCCATGTGTTCCTAATGGAGGTAGAGGTAAAGCCTAGAGGTGGGTCTAGGACCACGCAGGGCTGCACAGAGCTGCAAGAGATGAAAGAGTCCCCTGGAGAGGACTCGGGAGCAGCAGGCAGTCCCAAGGGGTCTGCGTCCTCGAAAACAGAAGCACGAGGCATGACAGTGGCCAGCAGAAGGCTGATCTGATGCCATTGGGCTCATGGGAAGAGAGGTGCCAGCCATCCCGGCCACAAGGTTATAGGGAGATGAGGTACCTTAGAGCAGTGGGTTAGGGAGTTGGGTTGCAGTGAAGGGCAGAGAATCTTTTTTTTTTTTTTAAATAATTTCCACTTTTATTTTAGATTCAGGGGCTAGATGTGCAGGTTACATGGGTCTATTGCATGATGCTGAGATTTGGTGTGTGATTGCTCCCATTACCCAGGTACTGAAACATAGTACCCAACAGTTTTTCAACCCCTCCCCATCCCTTATGCCTCTAGTAGTCTCCAGTGTCTGTTGCCATTTTTATGTCCATGAGTATCCAATGTTTAGTTCCCACTAATAAGTAAAAACATGCAATATTTGGTTTTCTGTTCCTACATGAATTTGCTTAGGATAATGACCTCCAGCTGCATCCGTGTTGTTACAAAGGACATGATCTCATTCTTTCTTATGGCTGTGTAGTATTCCGTGGTATATATGTACCATATTTTCTTTATCCAACCCACCACTGACAGGCACCTAGGTTGATTCTGTCTTTGCTATTGTGTATAGTGCTGCAACAAACATAGGAGTGCATGTGCCTTTTTGGCAGAACAATTTATTTTCTCTTGGATATATATCCAATAATGGGACTGCTGGGTTGAATGGTAGTTCTAAGTGCTTTGAGAAATCTCCAGCTTTTTATAGGATCATAAGATCATAAGGATCTTAAGATGGTGAGTGGCTGTGTTAGGTCAGGGGCTTGCAGGAGTGGGTTCTGAGGACGTGGATGAAGAGGGTATCAGGATAGGCTACAGCCCAGAAAAGGAAGCTTCAGGACCCATAAAAGATAGCTCTTCCTCACCCAGGAACAGAAATGGCATAGAGCCTGGCACCTAGTAAGTGCTCAAGAAAGGCGGCCCTATTCCTGTGATATCTGTAGTAAAGCTGGTTTAGGAGTTTCTCACGCTAAGTGTGGCCCTCTCAGCTTCTGCCTGTCCATTTCCTGAGATGGCTCCTGCCACATGCCATGACCAGAAAATCTTGTCACTAAATAGTTGATCACTAAATAGTTTCACCTCTGTGACTCTCTCAGAAGCCCTGCCTAGTGCTGACCTCTGACCTTGGTCCTCGGGGAGGGAAAATAGGCAAGAGGATGGGGACTGAGGTTATGCAGCTCTGAACTGAGCACACAGGTCTAGGCATGGCTTCCGGGCTCACCAGCCTTTCTCTCCTTCAGTCCTGGGGTCCTGTGACCTGGTGCCAGTCAGAGCAGTCAAGGAAGGGATGCTGGGGCTGACCCCTGCAGTGTCAGACCTTTTTGCTGCCATAAATGCCTCATGTGTGGTCTGGAAGTGCTGTGAGGATGGGAAACTGGAGTTGACTGACTCCAACACAAAGTATGTTGGCAACAACATCAGCACCAAGGGTGTGGGCAGTGACCGCTGTGAGGACATCACTCAGAACTACAAGTATCCTGAAGGTATGGGCCAGGGAAGGGCCCCAGGCTTCTCAGTACCTGAAACAGCAAATGAGGGAAAGGGATGAGGCTGGCAGATGCAGTCAGAAAGAGTCCCTGTCCTTTCCCCATCATATAAAACAGGGTTTCTCAACCCCATTGGACACCATTGACATTTGGGGACAGATATTTGTTGTAGGGGATGCACACCCTAGGACATTTAGCATCATTCCTGATCCTCAGAGTAAGTCTAAATTCTTTCACATAAAAGATTCAGTTCCCGGCAAAACTGTCCTCAGAGACAGTGTGACTTGTCCCCAACCTTGCTGTCTCATCGTTCAAGGGGCAAATTCATAACACTTGAAAAAGAACTTGGTCCTTGAGTGGCTTGGAAGAGACACACTGTGTCAGTGGTGGATCTGCCTCACACAGACATTTTGGGGCTAAATATGGCCTTAGAGGTTTGCAGAGCTCTTGTGACTTTGGCATTTGGGCAGAAGTGGGTAAATGGTTTTGATTCCTGGGCTTTTATTAGAAGCATTTCTAACTCCTGGGTAAAAGGTTGGCTTTGTTTCTTCCCTTCTCCAGGGTCTCTTCAGGAAAAAGAGGTGCTGGAGCGAGTCAAGAAAGAGAGAATGAAATTTGGGAAAGACAATGGCATCCGTCCTCCCAGTCTCGAGACTGCCAATCCTCTGTACCTATTCTTGAAAGCACCCAGCTCCCTACCCTTGAGAGGGGATGGCCAGATCTCAGTGACGCTGATTAACCACAGTAAGCAGGAGAAGGCAGTACAGCTGGCAGTTGGGGTCCAGGCTGTGCACTACAACGGTGTCCTTGCTGCTGAGCTCTGGAGGAAGAAGCTGTCCCTCACAGTCAGTGACAACCTGGGTAATGCTCTATGGCCACACCAGACATCCCACACACATATGGCCCCTGCCTTGGGCAGGCAGCAGCCACAGGGCACCCCCTGCAGTTTCTCAAGATGGCCTTGAACCCCTGGTGCTCACTCTTACGCTCTCTCTCATTCACTCATTCAACACATATTTATTGGGCCTGAAGCAGGAAAAAAACATGATACCAACTGCAATCAGATCAGTAAACAGACCCTTCATAGCAGTGTGAAAAGTGTTTGCTGAATTTAACAGAGTATGATGGCAGGGGAGCATCTCCTTCAGGCTGGAGTAGGCTGCCCACAAATAAATTGTACTGCATTGAATTTGGAAGGATGAGTAGGAGAGTAATGGCCAGAAAAGGAAGTCACAGCATTCCAGATGGAAGGAGCAACATGTGCAAAGGGCCCTCCTTATGCCTGAGGTTCTTATTTAATTGGTCTGGGATGGGGTCCAGGCATTGTTTTCTTTTTAAAACAAACAAAAAACACCCTGTGTTATTCTGTGGTTAAGATTCCCTGAACTGGAGCAATTGCTCTTAATTTTTGCTGCACATTAGAATCACCTGGGGAAGTTTCATGCTCAGCCTGTGTCCCACGCCAGTTAAATCAGAAATTCCCTGGTATCCCAGGCTTGGTGGCTCATACCCATAATCCCAGCACTTTGGGAGGCCAAGGCAGGTGGATCACCCGAGGTCAGGAGTTAAGACCAGCTGGCCAACGTGGTGAAACCTTGACTCTACTAAAAATGGAAAAATTAGCTGGGTATGTTGGCACGCATCTGTAATCCCTGCTTCTGGGGAGGCTGAGGCAGGAGAATCACTTGAACCCAAGAGGCGGAGGTTGCAGTGAGCCAAGACATGCCACTGAACTGCAGCCTGGGCAACGCAGTGACACTCCATCTCAAAAAGGGGGGGGGGAAAAACTCTATGGTGGAACACATCAGAATTTTTAAAAACTCAGGTAATTCCAATGTGCAGACAAGTCTGAGAATCAGTTAACTAGAGCTTGTCTACAGCATTGCAACAGCCTTCTAACCAGTCACCACACCTCCAGTCTCTGCATCACTCTTCCCTTTCCAAGCATGGGAGGAGTGGAGTCAGGGGAGTGATGTGAGAGCTGGACAGGGCCCGGGTCACACAGAGTCTTATCTGTCTTGCTAAGGAGTTTGAGTTTTGTTCTCTGAATAATGGAAAGCTGGTGGAAGGTTTCAACCAGAGTAGTCAGTGGAATCAGAAATTCATTTTAACAAGAAAGAACTTTTGGCAGAATGGAATGGAAGGGGTCATATAAAAAGAATGTTTCTTAACCTTGGCTGTACATTGAGTCATCTGGTGAACTTTTTTGCGGGGGATGGGGACAGCCTTCTGAGCCAGAATAGGCTCTGAGACTCCAGTCATTTGGGAAACTAAAAAAATACTAATGTCTGGGCCTCACTGCCAGAGTCTGATGTAACTGATTTGGGGTATAGCCTGGCATTAGGATTGTTTTGTAAAGTTCCCGACTTGATTCTAATGTACATCTAGTGTTGAGAACCACTGGATTGAAGATGAGAAGATTTTGTAGTCATCAAGTCAAGAAATGAAGGCTAAACTAAGCTGGAAGCACTTAGAATTAAAACATGTTAAGGAGTTGGGATAGATTGGACTTGTGAATGTGTGAGTGTATACGTGTATGGTGGGTGCTTCTGGTATGGGTGGTTCACTAGAATAGGAAAAATGGGGAAGAGCAGGTTCGGGGAGAAAAAGGATGTATTTGTTTGTGGCACATAGTGTCTGAAAGCCCACGATACATCCAAATGGAGCTGACCAGTAGGCAGCAAGAAACCTTGATAAGATAAAGTTCTGGGCTGGAGCTCAGACATGAAAATTCCAGAACAGGGGGGCCAACAAAGAGTCAGGGCATAGATGAGCTCATGGTTGTGGGGAGAGGACAGTGAGTAGATGACAGGGTAAGGAGGGAACCCAGCAGCAGCAGCAGCATTTAGGAGACGGTCAATGGAAAAGCAGAGAGAAAGGGAGGCCAGAAAGTCAGAGGAAGGGGGCACCCAGCAAGGTTAGCAGAGAGGGTGTGAGGTATCAATGCTGAAAAGCACCATTAAGAGAGTGGCCTTACAGGGAAGCTTCCTGGGCATTAAGCCAATTGAGTTGGGAAGGTGAGACAAACTGCCCAGTCCTCCCTGGAGGCATGACAGGAAAAGGAAGGCTAGGGTTTAGTTAGCCAGGGACACTGGGCAGAGGGAGAGAGCTGAACCTGCTTCCATGCTGAGGAAAATAAGCAGGCAAGAGGGAAAGAATGCAGCCTCAGGAGAAATGGGTTAAAATTGACAGAGCTATGCTTGGGGAAATGAGACAACTAGAATAATTATAGCTCACATTTATTGGGCACTTATTTTTGCCCAAAATGGTGTTAAGTGCTTTATATGCATCATCTTATTAGCCCTCACAACAACATTCTGAGGCAAGAACCATTGCTATTGCCACTTTACAGATGAGATGAGACACAGAGAGGTTCAATAATTTACTCAAATACGTCATCCCCTGAGCAGTGGTGACAGTAGGAACAGATGTTTCTGTCTGTAGGGTGACAGAGCAAGACCCTGTCCCTAAAACAAAACAAAAAGCCTACAAACAACACAAACCATCCCACTAGGAAGGCATTATTATGAGACAAGGACAGTGAGGCCCAAATAGCTTAACTTGCTCTAGTTCACTGGGACCGTTCCCCAACCTCACTAAGGTGATCTGCCAAGAGTGCTGTTGGAGGTGGTGATGAGTATGAGGGTGAGGAATGGGGTCTTGAGTGAATTCCAAGCATACAGTTGCTGGGGGAAATGGGGCATTTTTCTGACCTCAGTGAGGCCCTGAGTTCTTTGCATTGTGCATGTAACTATGGCTGTTTCTGGGGTACACGCACCCATTGGCACTGACTCCACCTGTTTTTGTGTTTCAGAAAAGACAATAACCATTGGCCTGTTCTTCTCCAATTTTGAACAAAATGTACCTGAGAACACCTTCCTTAGACTCATCGCCATGGCAACATACTCTGAGTCCAGCCTTAGCTGCTTTGCTCAGGAAGACATTGCCATTTGTAAACCACATCTTGCCATCAAGGTAGGCACCAATCCTCCCCTGAGTTGTCCTCAATCTGCCACCACTCAGGTCCACATTTCAGAAGTAATCCAAGCCCCTTCAGAGCAGATGACTGTGCTACAGGATTACCAGAAAATGATACATTTAAGAGCTTTTTCTCTTGAGAGACATAGTTTCTTACATACCCTACTAAGGTTTAAATCTTCCAACTTCTTTAGTTAGTTAAGTAAAGGTTTCTAAAATTGGGGCATTCCTAGTTGCTGCCTCCTATCTACAGGGATCATAATAGCCTATGTTTATTTAGCACTTCCTACACATGCCAGAGGATTTTTCACATCCTTTTTTCTTTCTTTTTTTTTTTTGAGACGGACTTTTGCTGTTGTTACCCAGACTGGAGTGCAATGGCACGATCTCGGCTCACCGCAACCTCCGCCTCCTGAGTTCAAGCAATTCTCCTGCCTCAGCCTCCCAAGTAGCTGGGACTACAGGCGTGCGCCACCATGCCCAGCTAATTTTTGTATTTTTATAGAGACAGGGTTTCACCTTGTTGACCAGGATGGTCTCAATCTCTTGACCTCATGATCCACCCGCCTCAGCCTCACAAAGTGCTGGGATTATAGGAGTGAGCCACCATGCCCGGCCACCTCCTTTCTCTTTCTAAGCCCTGTGAGGTGGAATTGTTCCCATTATTGAGATTTAAAAAAAAAAAAAAAAAAAAAAAAAAAAAAAAGCTGAGTCCTAGAGAGCAACATGCCTAAGATCATAAAAACAGGAAATTCTTGAGGCTTATGGCTGTGGTCCAGCCCTCTTTCCATGTGTCTACCCTGGCCAAAATGAATGAGATCTGATCCCTGCCCTCAAGCAGGTTATAGTTTAGTTAGGAAGACACAACATTTGGTGTTCTAGGTAAGTGCTTTAATAGATGCACAAAGTTGCTATGGAATAAGTGAAGCAGTAAGTGAAGCAAAGGGTATTAATTCCAGCTGGTGGGTTTGGGGATGACTTTATGAAGGAGATGACATTTATGCTGGACCTTGAAAAATGAATACTCTTTCAATATAGAGGTAAGGGAAGGCCACTGAAGGCAGAAGACAGCAAAGAGGTGCAATGGAAGGTAGCCTGAGGGGTGTGCTTGGGATGGGACAGTTCCTGATGGGGCTGGGATGTCAGTCATGGGAAGAACAGGTGAGGTGGGAAAGGGAGATTGGGGGAACACCATGAAGAACTCTGAATACAATGTAAGCTGAATTCCTAAGATGTTGAGAAACCTTCCAAGATGTCTGCATAGAGGAGAGGCACCATCACAAATCGTCAGTGTTGGACCAAGGGTGAGAATAAATGCAGGAAGAGCAGGTACAGCGGGTAGAAGACATCAGCTGTGAATTTTGGGTCAGCTTGGCAGAGATGAGGAAACTTACTGAGGGTACAGGGATACAGGGGAGAAGAGTGGCTATGTCCTTGACATCCACCAGGCATTCCTCTTCCCACAGATGCCAGAGAAAGCAGAGCAGTATCAACCCCTCACAGCCTCAGTCAGTATCCAGAATTCCCTAGATGCCCCCATGGAGGACTGTGTGATCTCTATCCTGGGAAGGGGGCTCATTCATAGGGAGAGGAGCTACAGGTAAGTGATGGCAGACTTCTCTACCCCCCTGAAATGTCTCAACAGTCAGAAAGGCAGGGCACAAGAGAGAGAATCTCTCTTTGTCGTGTCCTTGCAGACAGCAGATACCCACAGAAACTGAACTAAAGGATTAGGGCTACCAAGTGGCTTCCCTCATTCTGGGACCATTATATCTGCAGGAGAATAGGAGTGAGGCAGGCTATGTGAGCCCCTTGGGCACCTACTTGCTCTCATTGCTGCCCTGATCATGCAGGAAGAGCCTGGGTATTTCTGTGAATGCAGGCGACGGCATTAGGGCTGGGTATTGGAGAGTAATGAAGGGAGGACAGGCTACCTCTCATTGTGATCAGAGGGCTGCATTCTGGCAGTCACCACCACAATACACAATTTAATTTATTCCCTTTTATTCCCATTTTCACCACCACCCTTCATGTCCTTTTATTTGTACATGTCAAATGTGTACTGTTGCTTTCATGAGCCTGTATTTTTAACTTATATAAATTTATAATTAATTGCTTTTCTTACTTTTCACTCAGAACTATGTTCTTAAGATTTATGCCTATATGTCTTCTGCTACATAATACTCCATCATGTATACCCACCACTTTCTACCACTCTGCTCTACAGAGATGGGCACCCGGAGTGCCTCCAACTCTGACACTGAAAATAATGTTACAGTGAACATCCTCACATAGGTCTCCTTATATACTTGTTTGAAACTTTGGTGGAGTCTGAGGATATATATACCCAGGAATAGAATTGCTGGGTCACTGGATATGATGTGGTTTAAACAGGTACTGTCAGATTTGCAGAATGGCTGCAAGTCTCCACTCCCTCCAGCAGTACATGAGAGTTTCGATATTCCTACCCCTCCTTCATTCTTGGCAATACCCAACTATTAATACTTTCTTCTAGTCTAATTAAAATGAAGTAATATCTTACTATTGTTTTAATCGCAACTCTTTATATGTTTTGTTAGCCTTTTATGTTTTCTTCTCGGTAAGTAGTTTGTCTTTATTTTGCCCACTTTTCTTTTGGTGTCTCTACTCTTCCTTCTTGTTGATTTGTAGAAGTTCCCTGTATAGTCCAGGTATTAGTCTCTTGTTGATTTTAAATGTTGTGAGTATCTTCTTTCGTTATGTCTACTGCATCCTTAGTTGAATACACAGTATTAAAGCTCAAGATACCTATACCTACTGTCCTGAGGTCCCTAGCAGATGTGTAAGTTACTGAGTCACTCTTGCTAGTAAGTCAAGAAGAGGGACTGTCAACATTTAACCAGACTCCTGTGGTCTCCCAAATCAGTTGTGGGGCAAAGCTCCTCAAAGTAAGTCTGTCACCAAAAGAAGGTTTATAGGCAGGCCAGGAGGTTGCTGACAAGGCTCCAAACGTCACCTGCTGACATACTGACATCCTCTCAATAAGCCTGCTACATCCACTGTGCTTAGCAATAAGCAAAGGTTCCAAAGCAATAGCTCTTTGTATTAGTTTATGTTCATGCTGCTGTGCTGATAACATACCTGGGAAGAAAAAGAGGTTTAACTGGACTTACAGTTCCACATGGCTAGGGAGTCCTCCGAATCATGGAGGGAGGTGAAAGGCACTTCTAATATGGCAGCGGCAAGAGAAAATGAGGAAGAACCAAAAGTGGAAACCCATGATAAACCCATTGGATCTTGTGAGACTTACTATCACAAGAATAGCATGGGAAAGACCAGCCCCTGTAATTCAATTACCTCCCCCTGGAACCCTCTTACAACACATGAGAATTCTGGGAGACAGAATTCAAGTTGAGATTTGGGTGGAGACACAACCAAATCATATCATTCTGCCCCTAGTCCCTCCAAATCTTATGTCCTCACATTTCAAAACCAATCATGCCTTCCCAACAGTCCCCCAAAGTCTTAACTCATTTCAGTATTAACCCAAAATCCACAATCCAAAGTCTCACCTGAGGTAAGGTAAGTCCCTTCCACCTATCAGCCTGTAAAATCAAAAGCAAGCTAGTTACTTCCTAGATACAATGGGGGTACAGGTATTGGGTAAATACAGCCATTCCAAGTGGGAGAAATTGGTCAAAACAAAGGAGTGACAGGGCCCAGGCAAGTCCAAAATCCAGCAGGGCAGTCAAATTTCAAAACTCCAAAATGATCTCCTTTGACTCCAGGTCTCACATCCAGGTCACACTGATGCAAGAGGTGGGCTTCCATGGTCTTGGGAAGCTTTGCAGGGTACAGCCGCCCTCTCAGTTGCTTTCATGGGCTGGCATTGTCTGTGGCTTTTCCAGGTACACAGTGTAAGCTGTCGGTGGATCTACCATTCTGGGGTCTGGAGGATGGTGGCCCTCTTCTTATAACTCCACTAGATAGTGCCCCAGTAGGGATTCTGTGGAGGCTCTGACCCCACATTTCCCTTCTGCAGTGTCCTAGCAGAGATTCTCCATGAGGGCCCCACTCCTGCAGAAAACTTATGTCTGGGCATCCAGACATTTCCATCTATCTTCTGAAATCTAGGCAGAGGTTTCCAAACCTCAGTTCTTCACTTCTGCGCACCGACAGGCTCAACACCATGTGGAGGCTGCCAAGGCTTGGGGCTTCCACCCTCTGAAGCCATAGCCCAAGCTGTATGTTGGCCCCTTTCAGCCACAGCTGGAGTGGCTGGGACACAGGGAACCAAGTCCTTAGCCTGCACACAGCACAAGGACCTTGGGCCTGGCCCACTAAACCAATTTTTCCTCCTGGGCTTCCGGGCCTGTGATGGGAGGGGCTGGCATAAAGGTCTCTGACATGGCCTGGAGACATTTTCCCCATGATCTTCAGGATTAATATTAGGCTACTTGCTACTTATTCAAATTTCTGCAGCTGGCTTGAATTTTCCCCCAGAAAATGGGTTTTTGTTTTCTATTGGATAGTCAGGCTGCAAATTTTCCAAACTTTTATGCTCTGCTTCCCTTACAAAGCTGAATGCCTTTAACAGCACCCAAGTCATCTCTTGAATGCTTTGCTTCTTAGAGATTTATTCCACCAGATATCCTGAATCATCTTTCTCAAGTTCAAAGTTTCACAAATCTCTAGGGCAGGGGCAAAATGCCACCAGTCTCTTTGCTAAAATATAGTAAGAGTCACCTTTGCTCTAGTTCCCATCAAGTTCCTCATTTCCATCTGAGACCAACTCAGTCTGGATTTTATTGTCCATATTGCTATCAGCATTTTGGACAAAGCCATTGAACAAGTCTTTAGGAGGTTCCAAGCTTTCCCACATTCTCCTGTCTTCTTCTGAGTCCTTCAAACTGCTCCAATCTCTGTTCCAAAGTCACTTCCACATTTGCAGGTATCTTTTCAGCAATGCCCCACTCTACTAGTACCAATCTACTGTATTATTAGTTTATTTTCAGGTTGCTGATAAAGACACACCTGAGACTGGGAAGAAAAAGAGGTTTAATTGGACTTACAGTTCCACATGGCTGGGGAGGCCTCAGAATCATGGTGGGAAGTGAAAGCCACTTCTAACATGGTGGTGGCAAGAGAAAATGAGGAAGAAGCAAAACAGAAACCCCTGATGAGCCCATCATATCTTGTGAGGCTTACTCACTATAAACAGAATAGCACAGGAAAGACCAGCTCCCATGATTCAATTACTTCCCTCGGGTCCCTTCCACAACACATGGGAATTCTGGAAGATAGAATTCAAGTTGACATTTGGGTGAGACATAGCAAAACCATATCACTCTTCCAGAGAGACTCCAGTAGCATTACCAGGAATTGAAACAGAAGGAAGTCACAGATGATGAAAGCAACAACAGATGTAGCTTGTTAGCCCTTAGGATGTGTCTATTCTCAACCATGCAGTTGCTCAGCATTGGGTGGCTCCTGTCTTCTATTCCTTTGTAAACACTTCTATTTTAATAGCAAGGTACTTAGATGTTTATTTGTGCATGGTCCACCTCTTCAAGCAAGGAAAGACCAGTCACTGGGACCAGCAGAGCAATGAACCTGGGACAGAACTACCATCTGCCTTTTCCTTTATTTCAGATTAGGTTCAGTGTGGCCCGAAAACACCATGTGTACCCAGTTCCAGTTCACGCCGACACACCTGGGGCTCCAGAGGCTCACTGTGGAAGTGGATTGCAACATGTTCCAGAACCTAACCAACTATAAAAGCGTCACTGTGGTAGCCCCTGAACTGTCAGCTTAAACTTCAGCTCTAGCACCACTCTCCTGCCAGCCCTTGACTCTACAATCTAAATCAAACATGTGCTAGAAGAGAAACTTTGCATCTCAGTGTTTGTGTTGCTATAAAGGAATACCTGAGGCTGGGATAGTTTAAAAGAAAAGAGGTTTATTTGACTCACGGTTCTGCAGGCTGTACAAGAAAGAGTGAAGTCTTCAGGCTACTTCCACTCATGCAGGAAAGTGAAGGAGTCAACATAAGCAGAGATCACAGGGCAAGAATGGGTGGGAAGGGGGTAGATGCCAGGTGCCAGCCTCATTTTAACAGCCAGCTCAGGAGTGAGGGAGGGAGGTATAGAGTGAGAACTCACTCATTACCCCAAGGACAGAACCAAGCCATTCATGAGGGACCCAAACACCTCCTATTAGACCCTACCTCCAACACTGGTGATCAGATAGCCAAACTACATCACTCTGTAACCAAACTACATTTCAACATGAGGTTTGGAGGATCAGACAGCCAAACTACCTCACTTTGTTTATCAGACAAATGAGTAGTCATTCAAGTTGGGCAGAAGAGTGACCAAGAACAAAACTAGATTCCCAGAAATCAATAATTAACATGTTTATTTCTGTCACCCCAGCTAAGGCAGCCATGAAGACCAATTGTCTTACAATGGACACTAGTGGGTGAAGTGACAAAAAGAAGCCTTTGAAAAGGTGCTCAGATACCTTTACAAAGTACATTCAGATTTTCAGGTTCAGGTTTTTTGCAACCATTCTACTGCTCATTAGTACACTCATTAACTTGCAGGTAAGGGAAAGAACCTAACACTTAAATCATTCTTAGATTTCTCATGAAGTGGGATGATATTATCCTAAAATGGAATTTTTAGGTAATCTTAGAATTACATTGGTGAAGCTTGGTGCAGTGGCTCACGCCTGTAATCCCAGAACTTTGGGAGGCTGACGTGGGTGGATCACCTGAGGTGAGGAGTTTGAGACCAGCCTGGCCAACATGGTGAAATCCCATCTCTACTAGAAGTACAAATATTAGCTGGGTGTGGTGTGCACATTTGTAATCCCAGCTACTTGGGAGGCTGATGCCAGAGAATCACTTGAGAACCAGGGAGGCAGAGGTTGCAGTGAGCCAAGATTGTGCCATTGTACTCCAGCTTGGGGGACAGAGCAAGACACCATCTCAAAAAAAAAAAAATGTACATTGATCAGTGCTTTCTCTGATTGTTATCCTTAGAGATCCAAACATGACTGAACAAAGTTATACAATATAGAACCTGAGAGAATTATTCACCTATAGATAAATCTTTATATTAGAGTTTTCTATTCATTAAGTGTCCCACAGTTAAAGTCTCATGTTAATAACATGAATTTGGTCCAGTAGAAAAATATTATTTAAAAAATATATTAAAAATAGGCTCTATAAGAAGAAAGAACTAGACTCCTTTTGTACAAAGTTATTTTGTGTGTTATTTTATTGCCTTGGCACTCTATCAGTTTAGTTTTAGTTCCTTCCCTTTATGACACTTGTACAAAATGGCGCTTTCAAACAGTAAATTAAAACACATTTGGCTTAAGGAATTTCAACCCCCAGTATACACTAGTCACTCAAAGAATGACTGTCGTTGCTGATTATACCTAGAGAGAGCAGAAAGGCATATGTGAAGAATTACACCTACAGAAGGAAAAGGACAGGCATTAGAGGTGGTGGAGACCTGCAGGACGTGCAAAAGGCCCAATTCGGCTCACCAGAATATACATCACTACAGGTTTATGCTGCTTTCCAATATGAAGTCTTCTAGACTGATGCAAAAGTATAATTAAGTGGTGATGGTTTTGCAAAAGGATGAACTGAAAAGGCCCTTAAAATTACATAAACTCTTATACTAAAAAAATTTTGATTTGTAAAGATTTGGTATTTACATTTGGGGACACATGTAACAGAGGACAATACGAGTACATATAAGGAAATAAATCTGTTCAACAAGGTGGGCAAACCTAACATCAGCTCAATGCCAATGTATTTTGGAGACATGGAGTAACCTGAGATAATATTCAGAAGGACTTGTTGATAATAATATATAACATGGTGAAATACTATACACTTCTGATCAGAATCAGATTTTTAAACCTACAAACCCAAATGAAAGCAATGTTTTAGTCTCAATCCACTGTATTTCTGGTAAAATGAAACTGTGGAAGGGCACTCAATCACTGGCAGGTTAGCATTTTATTGAGACCATCAACATCTTTACAACGAAAACAATTTACAGCAAAAAGCAAATAAGGCAGCTTTCCTAGGAATCTCTTGAGAAATGACTCAGGAATGAGAAAACATGCAATTATTTTTTACATATAGCACAGAAAAATATATTATTTGCATATAGTTTATAAATGGGTGCCAATCTGGACTAACCAACAATTTTTGGTAATAAGTGTCTCTTGCTAAATATAAACAGGCACTCCCTTTCAATCCAGCAAGCATTCTACCTCTATTTTAAACGGAGACATGAGAGCCTGGCCACGATGGTGAGAAGGGGAGAAGAGAGTATAAATGAACTTGAAAACTCATAATTCAAGTTCACTCTGAGTGAGCTCCTTGATTCTATTCATGCAATGATCAATGGCATTAATAAGTAAGGGGATCCAACTATCTTCTGGCTGAGGGGTCACATGACTTGCTCTATGAATAGAATAGAAAAAAAATAAGTTAAACTTACTAGGGTGTCAAGGGAAAACCTATCCTCAGGAGGGAGCACAGGGAAAACTAATTTTTTTTAAAGGGGTGCTTCTTTGCAGAAACTCAGCTGCCCCACAACTGAAGTTGAAAGAAAATCCCACACCCACCCTTTCCCACTCCTTGAAATAGGGGCTTAGGAGTTGAGAATATCTGGACAGGAGCTCCATTTTACTCTCAAGAAGCTATCTGAAAAGTCTTCATACTTACTTTGTGATTTCAAGTGCCTTCTTTAAGACAGACACAAGTTTCGCAGACTAGAAAAGAAACATAGAAGTTACTCGCCCTGAGCCCTACCATAAAAAGGCAAGCTCAAATATTTTAAAAGACCCAAATGATTTAAAAATATATATTTAGGCCGGGCGCGGTGGCTCAAGCCTGTAATCCCAGCACTTTGGGAGGCCAAGACGGGTGGATCACGAGGTTGAGAGATCGAGACCATCCTGGTCAACATGGTGAAACCCCGTCTCTACTAAAAATACAAAAAATTAGCTGGGCATGGTGGCACATGCCTGTAATCCCAGCTACTCAGGAGGCTGAGGCAGGAGAATTGCCTGAACCCAGAAGGTGGAGGTTGCAGTGAGCTGAGATTGCGCCATTGCACTTCAGCCTGGTAACAAGAGCAAAACTCTGTCTGAAAAAAAAAAAAAAAAAAAAAAAAAAAAAAATATATATATATATATATATATGTATGTATATATGTTTAGAAAAAGAACCCTGAAAGAAGCATGCAAAAACAAAAATGCTGATTAGGTTAGGGTGATGGGATTATGGGTTCTTTTCTCTTTAGCAAGATCTTGTTAATACTGTTACTGTAACGTTTTAATAAGATTTTAAAAATCTAAAATATTTTCAATTTAGTAAAGAATAGAAAAGGGGCCGGGCGCGGTGGCTCAAACCTGTAATCCCAGCACTTTGGGAGGCCGAGGTGGGTGGATCACGAGGTCAAGAGATCGAGACCATCCTGGTCAACATGGTGAAACCCCGTCTCTAGTAAAAATACTAAAAATTAGCTGGGCATGGTGGCGTGTGCCTGTAATCCCAGCTACTCAGGAGGCTGAGGCAGGAGAATTGCCTGAACCCAGGAGGCGGAGGTTGCGGTGAGCCGAGATCGCGCCATTGCACTCCAGCCTGGGCAACAAGAGCGAAACTCCGTCTCAGAAAAAAAAAAAAAAAAAAAAAAAAAAAAAAAAAAAAAAAGAATAGAAAAGGGAAGAATGTAACCTGAATTGGTCCCAAAAGCTGATAGCTCAAAATATAAAGCAGAAATGACTAAGTTTCCTGTTTTTTTTTTTTAAAACCTTATAAAGGATTTTAACACTGCTAATATAATAATAACATGGAGACATTTCTCTACTAAAAATACAAAAATTAGCTGGGCATGGTGGCGCATGCCTGTAGTCCCAGCTATTCGGGAGGCTGAGGCAGCAGAATTGCTTGAACCCAGGAGGTGGAAGTTGCAGTGAGCTGAAATCGTGCCACTGCACTCCAGCCTTGTGCCTGGTGACGGAGTGAGACTCTCTCTCTCAAAAAAAAAAAAAAAAGATACATATACAGTACACATTTTAAAACTGCTTGGGCAGATGCTATGTTTGGGATAGCTGACTAGGCATACTGCTAAAGATGTTTATTTCTTAGGAAGTAAATTTTTTAAGTTAATGCCCAAAAGGATCCTATTCTACTTCAAGGTGTTTGTACATCATGAAGAACATCTAACAAATCTAGTTTCCATGATCCAATTTATCAGCTATTACTAGAATTGATACGTTCAACTTTAAAATATAAGCTATTTGGCAGTTTTAGTGCTCTTTCCAATAACATTAGAAAGAACTCTCTCTAGTAAAGGGCACAGAACTTCAAAGAATACAATAAAATCAGGTATTTATAAGAAACTTGACTCTTCATGGTTAAATCACACAATGTGTTTGTATTAGAACAGAGTATGTTTCTGTAACACTCATTTCTGTCTAAACTAGAATTAAGAAACTTGCCACCTGAGCGAGCTACTTCACCAACAGCTAGAGTTCAATATAACTGCGGCCTAGTCTAGAAATTAGAAACTTATGACTTCAGGTTGAGAAGTTCCTAAATTACCGTGTAATTAAGACTTTCTTTTCAAAGAAGCATTTTCTTTTCTTTTTCCTCTTTTTTTTAAGACAGCGTCTTGCTCTGTTGCCCAGGTTGGAGTGCAGTGGCGTGATCTCGGCTCACTGCAACCTCTGCCTCCTGGGTTCAAGTGATTCTTCTGCCTCAGCCTCCCGAGTAGCTGGGATTATAGGCACGTGATGCCCAGCTAATTTTGTATTCTTAGTAGAGACAAGGTTTCACCATGTTGGCCAGGCTG